TAAAAAATAATAATAAAATTGCTATAGGACATTTGTCATAAAAAATTTCATTTATCATTTACCAATTATAATTTATTAATTCATAATTTTATAATATTTTCTGTAAATTAATTAATGGATATAAATTTTGTGTAAATCCATTAATTGATTATAATTAATTAACACAAACTTTTCATCAATTAATTAATTATAAGAATACATATTCATAGATAAATTATAATTTATCATTTATCAATTATAATTTATTAATTCATAATTTTATAATATTTTGTGTAAATTAATTAATGTATATAAATTTTGTGTAAATCCATTAATTGATTATAATTAATTTACACAAAATTTTCATCAATTAATTAATTATAAGAATACATATTCAGAGATAAATTATAATCAATTGATGAATTTACTTATGATATTTTTAATGATTAATTATTGATAATAGTATTGATGGACAATTATTAATATAATAATTAATAAATATAAGTATGTATTAATCAATAATTTTAAGTATTTAATATTTGAAATTAGGGAATGAAGGAATATGAGTATTTTATAAAAAAAAATGAAAATGAAAAAAAATTTAGATAAAAGAAGGGGAACATTAACCAAATTGTCTCACATGGCACCAATGTTATCAGACTTAATCCCGTCATTGACCTGGTCGGAGTATTAGGTCATTGGTTCAACAGATCAGTTGAACCACATGACCTGAGTTAGTACATGAAAACCTATATTTTATGGGTTTAGTATTTGTCCTTTTAAAGGATATATAGTTATGTCATTTTAAGTGAGAGAAACACACAAGCAGTGGAAATCATGTGAGAGAAAATAAGTAATTTTTTTAATTTAAATTTTAAATAAAAAATATTAGGTTGTGTCTTTCACTCACTTAAAATGACACAAACTATATGTCCTTTAAAAGGATAAATATTTTTCCCATATTTTATATATAAAAATGCATAAAAATACTCAAATACATGTAAAAATTTATTTTGTAGTGTGTAAACATATATAGTTTTTGTAGGGATAAAAGAAAGTTATATCTGGTAACCACATATCGTATATTGTAAGAGAAATAAACAAAGAAAAAAGAAAATTCAAGTATCAGGTAACCACACACAATTCCTCTACCAAATGTCCTCAACAAAACATGTTTAATAATCATAAGGTATTTACCAACAACTCTTCCCATAAAAATGGATTTGTAACCCCCGAGGGTAGCTCAGTTGGCAGGTGAGCTCCCAAGGGATTGCTTGGTGCAAGGATCAAACTCTGCCTCAAGCAGTTTCTTGGAAAATCTTTGGGGGCCAGAGGATAAGCCAAAAAATCTTCGGAAGAGGGATTAGTCTCGTCCTTTTTCCGATTGCGAAGCTTAGTGCACCCACTGTTACAATGAGGGGCTAGCCCAAACGAGCCGTATCCCGAGGGCATGGTGCCCGGAGAAGGTTGAATGGGGATATCTCATGGCAATGTACCAAAAAAAATAAAAATGGATTTGTAAGTAATTAATATATCACATTCTCTTAATCTACGGTTTCGCAAATTGCTTCAATTTTGAAGCTGAAATTTATGTTACTATTGGAGAATATACTACTAGCCAATAAAACTAATTTTTTTTAAAAGGAGTTCCACACTTTTTTAAGACAAGACAAGATGAGACAACTTCTGTTTTTGTTTTTGTTTTTAATAAAAAATGCATGACTCGTCAATTTTGATGACTTGACTGAGTCATCAGTTTTGATAAAACTTGACCTGTTTGAACCTGTTTTCATCGGATCTGATACATGACCGGTCTAATACTTAACTCGAATTAATCAAATGATCGGTTTACTGGATTTCGGTTCCCAAGTTTATAACACTGCATGGCACAATTCGCTCCACCAATCCCTTTTTTTATGTTAGAGGAGAAATAAAATAAAATAAAAGAGTATATGGAGGAGAGGAGATCATTGAATATGTCTAATAAAAAATAGTTTTTAGAACACTGCAAACTGAGTTTTGTTTAGGTCTAATGACCAAAGAATGGTCAAACAACCATATAATGTGTCTATTATGGTTTTATTTTTAAATTTAAGTCTAATTAACTTTTTTATGACTTTTGCATTACATGGCTGAGACAGATTATAAATATTCAAATATATTTTTGATGAAATTATTAAGATATTATTTATTTTGAAAAATAGATAAACGTAATTTAACATAATTCACTTAATTCAAACTCATTTTAAAAAATGATTTGGTAAAATTAAAAGCATTTAAATCAAATACACAAAATAGTCACCAAAATGAATGACCAAATCGGACTTAGATTGTTCTACATTATTGACTAAAATTCTCTTATAATTCAAAGTTATTCTAGAAATATTTTGCCATTCAAACATTTTGTAAAGAATCGAGAAAATTTTAGGATATTGGATGAAAGATTTTTTAATGATTTTAATTATTCTTTGACATATCTCATTACGCAAGAGTCCTTTGGGCTTGAAACATGGATATTACATAGGCCCAACTTTTTTCTTTTTGGTTTACCTTATTTTTATTCACGAGTGGAGGGAGATGATGATTAAACTCATGATCTTATGATCACTGAAGCTCTGATACCATATAAAAAATTAATTCAATCCAAAATTTTAAAATGCTGGATGAGAGACTTTTTAATAATTTATATTATTCTCTAACACATTTTCTTAAAGAATAATGTAATTCTTAGTTCGATTCAAAATTACTTATTCCATCTTCCTCTATAAGATACTATTTTTCATATAGAAGATAATAGCACAATTAAAATGAACATTTTCAAAGTTCTCAGTAATAATCATAGGTATTTGCCTCGACGTGGAGAAGTAGAAATTGAAAAATATTTCCTTAATTCTCTTGCCCACTATAGTAAAGAAAATAAAGAAAGTTACCGTAAGTATTATTTATTATGAATAATATTTGTTTAAAATTAATTTTTAAATAAAGAAAATTGTAGTTGTTATACTTCTCCCCACTTTTTAGGAATTTTGTCTCAAAGATTAAAAGAAACCAACCTATGAAATGGTTTGTCTAAGCTTGTATACTCTCTTCTTGGTAGTTTTTTCATGTAAGTTTTCTAAATCCTTTTATCTTCAATATCACTAGTTAATGAAGAAGATATTTATAAATCTATTATTCACACTCGAGGCAGGAATGAGAAAATATTAATGCGTGTGGAGAGGTAACATAATTTTTGATAAGTGGAGAAGTACTACTTAAAAGGACACGAAGTTACATCGAATTCTTATAAAATTGAAAAGATTATATTATGTTTTACTTTTTTTATTAATATTATTATATTTCTTTGTTATTTTTATTGACTTTTATAAATTTGAATATTTACTAAAAATTTATATAATTTATAAAATATTATAAATTTATATTATTCTTTCAAATTTTATAAATTTTAATAATAAATTATTTAAAATCTATTCATATAAAATTTTCATTATAATTTTTTTTAATCACTTTTAAATTTTCAGAATTTAAAAGTTTAAAATTTTAATTCAATAGACCTAACACATGATTTCAATGGATTTGGATCCTCTCATGTTAAAAAATATATGATATGATCATGTGAGGAATCATAATTATACAAAAGTAAATCAATGGTGATAAAGAAAGAGAGAGAAAAATTATTAAAATAAGTAATTATAAAATCATAATCACTAATTTACCTTTATATGATTATGATTTGTCACATTGTTTTTTTTTTTTAAGGTGAGGATCCAAATCCTGATCTCAATATATCAATTAACTTATTACTCACTTTTCTTCCCGAGCTAAAAAGCCATATTCCACTAGCTACTCCAACTCCCTTAACAATCACACCACAATTCCTAGGCCCATAACCTAGATCTCGAATCATTAATAAATCTAAATTATCTAATCCAAACAATAAGGGGGCGTTTGGTACGTGCTATTTGGCCGAATTTCTGGAAAATTGAATTTTTCTAAATTTTAAATTTTCGAATATTATCGTAAACTGAATGTAAAAATCATATTTTTGAAAATTGAGATTTCCGGACAAATAAAAATTTCTCCTGTACCAAACGCCCCCTAGGTAAACAAGTACATTAACGCCATAAAGATGATGCAAAGTCTCACTTAAGAAAAAGAGGATAGACACTTCATTAGAAGTTTTACTCATTCTCTCACTGTTAGACCTAATTTCATCATCATCCATACCTTAGAACGAGTCTTGCATTCTATTCACCAACAACAACTAATCACGAACTCGTACCAAACAAAAGAAAGATCAAAAGCCAAACCATAATCGCCTTAAAAAGTCTCAAATCTATCACGCAATTCCCAAACAAAAGCATCGTCACCAAAATGCCCTAAACGCCACTGCATAATTTTCAAATTAGCCTTGCTAAATAGCAATTATACCCTCACGATATAATCTCGATTAGCCCTAATTCAATTTCACAAAACGAATTTAAGTGAAAGGATTAACCGCTTATAAGCGGTAAATACTGTGACGGTGACCGGGAAAAGAAGGTCAAATTTTACTACCGCCACACCACCCTTATTTTTCTCGTTCTCTATATAACATTGTGAGTGTGTCTTTTATCGCCTCTTCTTTCTCTCTGTTCTGTTTGTTTGCCCAGGAAATCAAAAGAGAAAATAATTCTCTTTTGAAATTCAAACTTAGAAGAAAAAAAAATTCTAGAAAAAAACCTTTGTGTTCTCTTCAGCACTACCACGTTGATGCTTTCAGAAGAATCACAAAGGCTTGAGAAAAACTGTTAAACAAGGCATTTTCTCTATCTATCTATTTTTTCCCTTTTCAATTTTTATATGTTTATCGTGACTCTGCAGTTCAGAGACTCCACGATCACTCTGTAAATTTAGGTTTCCTTCGTTCGAATTCATCCTCAGGTTGCTTTACATTGAAGTAATGCGAATTTCGCTTACGATTCTTTCTTTTTTTAATTTTCAGGATTTGGCTCCTCCGAGGTGATCTCTTCGCGGAGGTTGGGGTTAGGATTCTTGCGTATCGTTGTTTCCTCCCGGTTAGATCTGAAGTCCGCTCGTTACTGTCGTGGGAATGAGCAGCTTGAGGTTGGAGGATTTTGAATTCTATCGGAGTTTGGTAACATGATTTGTTGTTGAATAGGGAAAGAGGGAGAGGGTGGTAGAGAGTGTTGTTTCTATCTTTTTGTGTTTTTTTATGGTTTGTTGTTAGCGATGAAGAGGTCCAGAGATGATGTTTTCATGAGTTCTTCTCAACTCAAACGGCCGCCCATCGCGTCTTCCCGAGGAGAAGCGTAAGTTGGAGTGTTTTTGTTCTTTGTTGTCTTCAATTTCTTGTTTATGATACTCTGCTTGTGTTTCGTTTTTCTTAATTGTTGTGCTTGATCAAACATTTGCATCTTCAACCGAGTGATGAAGCTTTTCAAGTTTTTGCTGTGGTGAAATTGAATTTTCATGCCCTCGGGTGAAATCGAGGGAGGATACGTAGATTTTTTTTTTTTTTTGATAACAAGGATACGTAGATTTTAGTATATAGCATTTAGTGTTTTTTTTTAATTATTTATATATATATATATATTCTTGTGGAATGTTTGACTTCGTAAGATGAGATCAGATGTTTCTTATCAGCAATTGCGTTTGAATCATTCTCAACTTTTGATTATCATGTGTGTGATAATGTGATAAATTCTATGGTCGTCAATTTCTTCAATGGTCTAAATATTTTATGAAAATTTTGGAATGAAGATCGGGGCAACCCCAGATGATGAATGGAGGTGCTCAGAAACTGACTACTAATGATGCCTTATCATATCTTAAGGCAGTGAAGGATATATTTCAAGACAAGAGGGATAAGTATGATGACTTTTTGGAGGTCATGAAAGATTTCAAGGCCCAAAGGTTTGATCATGTTGTATCACATTCTTCCTCCATCCCCCCAATTTTGTTTAATTAATTAATTTATTTTTTGTATTATATTGGGAGAGGGGATCTTGGTTTTGTTAAGTGGAAATTGATTTGTCTCCTTTTGGTGCATTTGTAGAATTGATACTGCAGGTGTCATAGCAAGAGTGAAGGACCTTTTTAAGGGGCATAGAGATCTAATATTGGGATTTAACACCTTCTTGCCAAAGGGATATGAAATCACACTTCCACTGGAGGATGAACAACCTCCCCAAAAGAAACCTGTTGAATTTGAAGAAGCTATAAATTTTGTGAACAAGATAAAGGTAAAATTGTTGTTGAGTCTGAGGGCTTCTTTTCATGCAGGCTTGTTTTCATCACAGATTGGACAATTTTTTTTCGAGTCTGATGGGTTCTTTTCATGCAGACTCGGTTTCAAGGTGATGATCATGTTTATAAGTCGTTTCTAGACATATTGAATATGTACAGGAAGGAAAACAAGTCTATCACTGAGGTTTACCAGGAGGTCTGTGTTATCTGTGCCTATGTTTTTATGTTATAGTCAGGCAAATTTGTAATGTTGGTCTTTTTCGTTTTTTTTCTTCTCTATTTCCTCTGGTAGTCTTAATTTTTCTTTTGACACTCATTTCAATCATATATTGGACTTCTTCAGGTCGCTGCACTTTTCCAAGACAACCCTGATCTTCTGGATGAGTTCACTCATTTTCTTCCAGACACTTCCGCAGCACCCTCTACTTATTATGCTTCTGCTCGGAATTCTATGCTTCGTGATAGGAGCTCTGTAATGCCAACAATGAGGCAAATGCATGTTGAGAAGGTTTATCTCCAATTCCTCTTTTCCTCTCAGTAGTCAAAGGCATACCTGGGGAGCCGAGGTGAGGTGCCAGAAGGGGTCAACACCTCTTGCTGGTTGAGGTGCTGCCCCTTCAGTGAGGTGCTTGCCTCTAGTGCATTTATGGTTCAGGCGAGGCATCCCTTTCGCACATCACTTTTAACCATAAAAAAACCTGAAAGGGCAGCCATCGAACTTGCTAACCAGGACTAAATTGGGTAAATAGTTATAATGTTAAAAACCTAGTTGTCGGTCTTTGGGACTCTTACCGGTTAGTTGACTAGGGTTTCTTAAATTGATCATCTTCATTGTTTATTTTTGTTAGAATGTAATGTGTGAGTAGTTTTCAGTCTTTGACGACTTCAGGCCCAAAGCATTAAAACCCCCTAGAATTTCTTAAATTGATCACCTTTCTTCTTTGACTACCTTGGTGGCTTTGTCCCATTGAATTTCATAGTTGGTCATCAAGCTAACATTCTGCTTAACTGCATGCCAGAGAGAAAGGACCATGGCTTCACATGGTGAACGTGATCTCAGTGTTGACCGCCCTGACCCAGATCATGACAGAGGTTTGTTGAGGACGGAAAAGGAGAAGAGGAGACGTGTGGAGAAGGAAAAGGACCGTCGAGAAGATAGAGACAGGAGAGAAAGGGAGGATAGAGATTATGAGCATGACGTGGGTCGAGAAAGGGAGCGGTTCTCCCACAAACGGAAATCTGATCGTAAGGCTGAAGACTCTGGAGCTGAACCATTGCTTGATGCAGATGAAAATTTTGGTATACGCCCTATGTCATCCACTTGTGATGATAAAATTTCTCTGAAAAGTGAGTATGTCATAAATACTTTCGATTTTGAATCTACAGACTTATTTATGTATACTTTTAGCTTCCCTATCTAATGCTATGATGTACAGTGTTTTGATTGTGGAAACATACACTTTCATGTTCAATCGAGAAAGAAATAATTGGAAAAATACTAAAAATGTATCGCACTTGAAACTTCATTAACTAATGCAAAAAATTTGTCATCACTTCTCTGCCACTTATAATCCTAAAACTCTTAAAAAATAATTTCTTTTGTTGATACGATTATCCATAATCAAGAAATGCTATGAATTTTATATTTATGATCTGAGGCTATGTGAGTATTTCCCTTGTTTTGCATACAAATAAAAATAATTTTTTTCCACTTGTGTTTTAGTGTTCTATTCTTTGTTGGTTAATAATTTTTCCTCCTCCTTTGTTTTTATGGTTTGTTATTTATCTTAAATTTCGTCATCTCAGGTATGTATAGCCAAGAGCTTGCTTTCTGTGAAAAAGTCAAAGAGAAATTACGAAATCCTGATGACTATCAGGAATTTTTGAAGTGTATACATATTTACAGCAATGAAATAATTACCCGACAAGAATTGCAGTCATTGGTACGGTCTGTATATTATTTTTTTTATTAGTTGCTTTATTTTTTTTAATGTCAGATTCTGTCAATATGGGTAACTTTAATTAGTCTTGCTATGTTGATAAAGTATGGAAGAAAGACGAATTAGGCTATATTGTTGAATAAAGCATAGTTTATTTGCATGAAAGGAGTGGTGTGTTGTGAACTGTCAATTTAGAGACTAAAGGCTTGTCGGGTAAAATTTGGTTTGGGCCAGCATAGCTCTAGCGGGGCTACGGTCCTGCTGACAAATAAATTTCAAGGATTGAGAGAGTCCTGAGGACATTCAGTAAATTGAAGGAAAGAACAGATTCCATGCAATAAATTTGTGGACTATGAAGGCAATAAATTGAAGGAAGATCAATTTCTATGGAATGTTGGAGCAGCTAATAAGTAAAGGATTTCAATAGATTTGGAGAAATATGCAATGTCAATGAAAAAATGGCAGACTATTTAGGCAAACTAGTTTGCTTTGTATGCCCCAAAGGCCTTCCTCATTACACTTGCACCATAATCATTGAATGTAGTGTGGGAACTAATTAGTAATTTTGCACAGTAACTTGTCTGTCGGTCTGTCCTTGAAGATAGCTGAATTTTTTTTTCTGATCAATCTAGGTTCAGATCAACCTGCTTTAATTTTTTTTATTAGTACAACTTATATTTCCTTTGGAGTATACCCTTTTAACAAGACATGCAATGAAATATGATAGATAACTCTTGGTCCCTTATTCTTCCAGGTTGGAGATTTACTGGGAAAATATCCAGATCTTATGGAGGGGTTTAATGAATTTTTGGTACAATCTGAAAAGAAGGGTAAAATTCGAACTAATTTATTACTTTCTATGAAATCTAAATTTTGAGTTATTTCTAATTAGGTCCTGTAATACAGATGGTGGATTCCTTGCTGGTGTCATGAATAAAAGTATGTAAAATATTTACTTTATACTGTTATTTTCTGACAGATGCACCCCCTTTTAATTATTTAATTTTATCTGTGCTCATGTGAACATTTTCAGCTTTATCTTCTGCTCCAAAACTTCTGACATTTTTGTGTTTATCAGAGTCTTTATGGAGTGAAGGACATGGACTGAAAGCAATGAAGGTTGAAGACCGAGATAGAGACCGTTATAGGGATGATGGGATGAAAGAGAGGGATCGGGAATGCCGAGAAAGGGATAAATCTACTGTGATTGCCAACAAGGATGTTTCGGGTCCTAAGATGTCTCTATATCTTAGCAAGGATAAGTATTGCTCAAAACCTATAAATGAGCTGGACCTTTCTAACTGTGACCAATGCACTCCCAGTTACCGTCTCCTACCAAAAAATGTATACCTGTTTTACTTCTTTGAGTTTTCTCTTTGTATTTTATCTTATTCTAATGGAATCTCTGAGATTCTCTTGCTGATAGTGTTCTTCATGCGTATTACCTGTGCTTATGCAGTACCTAATACCTTTGGCTAGCCAGAAAACAGAACTTGGTGCAGAAGTGTTGAATGATCACTGGGTGTCTGTCACTTCAGGAAGTGAGGATTATTCCTTTAAACATATGCGTAAAAATCAATATGAAGAGAGCTTGTTTAGATGTGAAGATGACAGGTCAGAGCTTGCTAGGGATGTTTATTTACCTTTAAAATACCTATTTTATTGATTTATTTTTTATTGGTTGCCATCATAGGTACAATATTAATCTGCCTTTTAGTTTTTGACATCACTGTGTTGATTAAGAGATGTGATCTCCATTAGTTATCTGTCACTGGCACTTGCTGATATTATGTTAATCTGTGCTGGCAGGTTTGAACTTGACATGTTGTTAGAGTCTGTAAATGTAACAACCAAACGAGTGGAAGAGCTGTTAGAAAAGATCAATAATAATACAATTAAAGGAGACAGCCCAATTCGTATTGAGGAGCACTTAACAGGTTGTAATATTTTCAATTGATCAATGGAATTTTTGAAAGCAGATATGCTGTATGAAGTAATTTCTTCAAGTTTCCATATTCTGATGTGGTTTTCTGTTTATGTTCTTTTAGCTCTAAATCTTAGGTGTATTGAACGATTATATGGTGACCATGGGCTTGATGTGATGGAGGTGTTAAGGAAGAATGCACCTCTAGCTTTGCCAGTGATATTAACACGCTTGAAGCAGAAACAGGATGAGTGGGCGAGGTGTCGTGCTGATTTTAGTAAAGTTTGGGCTGAAATATATGCTAAGAACTATCACAAATCTCTTGATCATCGTAGTTTCTACTTTAAGCAACAGGATTCAAAAACCTTGAGCGCCAAAGGTAATAGATAACTTCAATAACATGGGATGTTTAAAAAAATCAAGAGTATTTTTTAAGGCTGCAAAACTTTTAATCATGCAAGATATCGTCATCAATTTTTTGATATACCTAAACGTGTGTTCTCCAGTAACTCATCTATAAATTTTCTGTGGTTGATGTCTTCTCTTTTCTTTGACACTTGTGTTTTCCCTTAAATAAATCTTAAGCACGTAATATTTACCATAACATGCATTTAGTTTTTTTTTAAACTTATTTATATTGATCTCAACACACCATGGTTTCTCTAGAGTCTAGACACAGTGCAAAAAAAAAAAGAGTGGTATGCTATTCTTCGAATGCAATGCAATGCAACTTTGAATATATGTGGTAATGATGATAGAATAATTCCTTCTTTCCCCTGACTCCTTTCTTTTATGAAACCTTTTACAGCCTTACTGGCAGAAATCAAAGAAATTAGTGAGAAGAAACGCAAAGAAGATGACGTCCAACTTGTGATTGCTGCTGGAAATAGACGGTCTATTCTTCCAAACTTGGAGTTTAAGTATCCTGATCCAGATATTCATGAAGACTTGTATCATCTCATAAAATATTCCTGTGGAGAAGTTTGCACAACTGAACAGTTGGATAAAGTTATGAAGATTTGGACAACATTTTTAGAACCCATGCTTTGTGTTCCTTCTCGGCCCCAGGCTACCGAGGATACTGAAGATGTTGTCAAGGCTAAAAATAATTATGTCAAAAGTTGCACTGCAAGTGTTGTGGAAAGTGATGGTAGTCCTGGTGTTGGTGCTACCATAATGAATCCGAAGCATATAAATACTTCTAGAAATGGGGATGAGCGTATGCCAGTAGATCAATCAACTTCTAGCAAAGCATGGCAATCAAATGGTGATAGTGGGGTTAGAGAAGACAAGTGTCTTGATTCAGACCGTACTGTGTGTAAAACTGAAACATCAGGCTGTAATACATTACACGGTAATATGAATATTATTGCATTCACACCTGATGAACTATCACGAGTCAATAAGCAAGATCACTCCAGTAAACGGTTAGTGAATGCTAATGTCTCACCAGCATCTCAAACGGAGCAAAGTAATGGAAGAACAAACACAGATAATGCATCAGGTTAGCCATTACTTCAGGAATGATGACACTTCTTGATGCTTACCCACCATTTATCTACAATACTTCCTTAATTTCTCCATTCATCTTCAATTGTTACTTTCTGATAATGAATATAACTAATATACCTCTTTTTCCTTCAAGGACTTACTGCTGCTCCATCCAGACCTGATATGGTTTCTGTCGAGGGAGGACTTGATTTACCTTCATCTGAGGTATGGCTTAACTCCTTGTGCAGCTTATGTCAGTCTCAAGTTAAAGTGCACTTGTTGTAGACTCATTTTAAGGATAAATTTTAATTTGCTGTCAGTATGAAGATTTTTGCACTTCAGTGAACCAGTTGTTGCACACCTACTGAAGGGATGATTAAATAATTCTACTGCAAGTGAAACACCTTAACTACTCCAATGATGTGACACTTTCGTGTTTACCGATATCATGTCTTTAGCTCCAAATAAAATGATAGCATGTGGTAGAATAAAGCATATATCATGTGGATTTGAAATGGCATGTGATGGCTTTTTATGGACGAGGTTCTGTTTTCGTTGTTGTAAGCATTGTTACAATTGACACTTTTCCCCGTACATAATTAGCTTGCTTTGAGTACTTAATATTCAATGTCGATTGATTTAGAAATCTAGAGCCATTGTTTTGTAAACCATAATTTTACTTTCATGTAACATTTCCTCTCCTTGAATTTGGTCAAGTTGATTCCCGTAGAAGTATGTTGGCATGTGTTGAGATATATAAAGCCATTAATGTAGCCTCACCCAATAGCTTAAGCTTTTGGATTGAATTGGTTCTTTACATGATATCAGAGCCTCGAGTCCCGGGTTCGATCCTCACTGCCCCCCACTTTCTTTGAAGTGGAATTTCTTTGTTCGCACAGGTAGGTGGGCCTGTGCATTGTCCACCCTTCAAGCCCAGTGGGCTCTCGTGTGAGGGGGCGTGTTGAGATATATAAAGCCATTAATGTTCCGTGTCCCGCAATCTGGGAAAAACTGCCATCGGCGACAAACACCTCCTAAACACCTCCTTGAATCTGTCCAACACAGAAACCTAGTCTACTGACCTCCGATCAAGAAAGTGAGGTGACCATTCGACTCAGCATGATTAGTGGATCTCATAGCATGTGTATGGTTGATATTATTTCTCCAATGAAATTGATCCTCTTGTTTTAATTACTAAGACTTAAATGCTGAGGCATAATCTGTAAGCTTTTCAAAACAGAGCATAAAGAGCACCGTTGCCTTTGTACTTGTGTTTATGGGACTATAAGTGATCACCATGCTTGTGAAGTTCTTAGTAATCGTCATTCTCCACACATTTTTCAGCATTCTAACCTAATCAAAATTGTTGACTAAATGTTAATAAGCTTATGTCCTTTTAAGACTAGTAATTCTCTGGTGTCATTACGAGTAATGTACTGAATTGTTTTTTAATCATGACCATGGCTTAGGGTGGCAATTGTGTTATACCTGGTACATCCACAATTGGGGCTATCACTGGTGGCATCGAAGTTCACAAATACCAAGAGGAATCGGTTCGGCACTTCAAAAGTGAAAGAGAAGAGGGTGAGTTATCTCCAACTGGAGACTTTGAAGAGGATAACTTTGCAGTTTATGGAGATACTGGTTTGGGCGCAGTTCATGAAGGAAAGGATGGTGGTGTGAATCGGCAATACCAAAATAGACATGGAGAAGAAGTTTGTGGTGAAGCCAGAGGAGAAAATGACGTTGATGCTGATGATGAAGGTGAAGAAAGTCCTCACAGGTCATCAGAGGACAGTGAAAATGCTTCTGAGAATGTTGATGTTTCTGGAAGTGAGTCTGCTGATGGTGATGAGTGTTCTCGAGAAGAGCATGAGGATGGGGAACATGATAACAAGGCTGAGAGTGAAGGTGAAGCTGAAGGAATGGTTGATGCCCTTGATGTTGAAGGAGATGGAACATCATTGCCATTTTCTGAACGCTTTCTACTAACTGTAAAGCCTTTGGCAAAGCATGTTCCCCCGCTGTTACATGAGAAAGAAAGGAATTCTCGAGTTTTTTATGGAAATGACTCCTTTTACGTGCTGCTTAGACTTCATCAGGTACAAAAGTATCTATTTACACAGACATACACCCCCCTCTTGAAAGGTTTTCAAAACTTACGTTGATGCTCCCTGGTAGTTTCAAATTGTACAATCAACTTTTCACAGTTTATTTTTCATTTAGCATTACCCTCTGTTATTCTGTTGTTGAAAAAAAGAACAACTTAAGAATGATTTATCAAAAATATAATGTCTAAACTACCCTTCGCACTTGGTTTTTACTTTCGTATTTTTTTACTGCTAAGTGATTGGGTATATGTTACCACTAGAGTCTCAAGATGATTGAGTTGACCAGATTATTCCTTTGTTGTGTCTTCTTGGTAGAATCACTTTATATTTGTGGAATAGCTCACATTAAAATCTTAGTGAAGAGCATATGATCATACAATTCTCTTAAGCTATTCTAGTGACGAAATTTAGTTAGTAAAATGTAATGCATGAGGTAGCGAGGGACCTTTTATCTAGGTTTTCAAAAGCTGGAGGGGTGTCAATGTTTTGGGTGTGAGCGAATATATGTAGTCGTAGACTAAAATCACTAAATAGATATTTCAGAACTTATTATATATTCATCGTATTATATTTTCTTTTGCTAATCCTGACAGACATTGTATGAGAGGATACAATCAGCAAAGTTTAACTCATCATCTGCTGAAAGGAAATGGAGGGCTTCAAGTGATACAAGTTCTACTGATCAATACGACAGGTGATATGCCTTGGAAATGTTCGATTTTAATACAAATTTGAAGATATATGTGAATATCCATGCAAGACTGAAGATCTCCTTCATGCTACAGGTTCATGAATGCCCTTTACAATTTACTGGACGGTTCTTCTGATAATACAAAATTTGAGGATGATTGTCGAGCTATTATTGGAACTCAATCATATGTCTTATTCACGTTGGACAAGTTGATATATAAACTTGTTAAACAGGTCAGATGAATAAATTCCTCTATCTATCTTTTGCGTACCATTCTATCTTTCTGATCCTGAAAATATGTCCTCTTGTATTTCAGCTTCAAGCTGTTGCCTCTGATGAGATGGATAACAAGCTTCTCCAACTATATGCATATGAGAAATCAAGAAAACCTGGAAGATTTATGGATATAGTTTATCATGAAAATGCCCGTGTTCTTCTTCATGATGAGAACATATATCGTATTGAATATGTAAGTTTTTATTGTAAGTTTTTATTTGTTTTACCTTCTTGTCTACTTAGATCTGCTCTTGAATGAAATTTTAAAGTGTTATATATTCTGTAACCTAGTTTATTTCGTTGCAGTCACCTGGACAAATGAATCTGACTATTCAACTGATGGACTGTGGACATGATAAGCCTGAAGTGACTGCTGTGTCGGTGGACCCTAATTTCTCAGCCTATTTGCACAATGACTTCCTCTCTATTGTGCCTGACAATAAGGAGAAGTCTGGAATTTTCTTGAAGAGGTATTTGATAAGTGAGAAGAATTGTTAGTGCTATTGCATGCTAAGGCTGGTGCTTTTTAGTCCTTTTCTCTTATATATATATTTTTAATTTTATTTATTTATTTCTCTTATTAATTAATTTTTTTTCCTCTTATTTCTTTATTTTTATTTTTACTTTTTTTTTTCTTATATATTTTTTCTCTTTTTTATCTTTATTTTCATTTTATTTTATTTTAATTTATTTTTATTTTTAATTATTTATTGTTATTTTTAATTTCTATTATTATTTATTTTTTTAATTTTATTTTTATCAGTTTTCTCTCAATTTCCTCGTATTTTTTTTTTGGGACCGACTCTAACTAATTTGGGATAAATATGTTGTTGGTGTTAAGTGCACATTAAGGCTTGTAGGTTGTTAGAATATCTAGAAAATATCTTATCATGTCATGATTATGAACCTGTTTAGATAGGCTTTAGAAAAATAATTTTTTATGCATTGTTTTTAAAATGACTTTTTTAAAAGCCAAAAGTATTTTACGCTTGGATGCATATTACAATTAAATTGCCATTATGATTTTTTATTTATCGAGACCTTGACATTATTTAATAAGAGAAATTTTGTGAAAATTCTTTTTATAATAACTAAAAAAATTAAAAATATAACTAATTCATAACCCTGATGAAAAATAATTTTAACTCAAAAAGTCATTATAATGCAATTATAAAAAATATCAATTATACAATAAGTTTCTAAATGCTAATGCGCACTTGCGCTGACAATTCATTCTTAACATTATCTCTTTTTCTTTCATAATCTAATTGATTATGCAGTTATTCACAAGATTGGTTGAACTTGGATGACTTTCATAAAACTAGAGAATCTATATATAGTAAAAGATCATGAAGAGTTCAAGGATCTATATTAGAGTTCATGGAGGAAGACTCCTTGTCTTGACAAAGCTTCTTTTAGTCACCAAAGAGTCAATACTACTTCCTTGGTCTTTGATTAAAAAAGCCCTTGAATGCCTTCGATGATGTTCGTTCGTTTTTCTCCGCACATTCTTTCTATTTGCATCTGAATGGAGTAAGAATGCTCAAAGTATTGTTGATGTTGGTGTTGCGTATACTTGACTCTTCACCGTGCTCCAAGACTTGTTCATAACTATTCGCTTGAACACGCTACTTTTCATCCTTAAAATATACTTCCTTTGATCAAATAATTCATTATGATTATGAAGCACCGATAAGCAGAATTTTTTTTTCCCAACGTATCGGACACACGTCCTGTACCGATACGCTTCCGATACGGATATTGCTGTATCGGATTGGTCAACAACATCCAATTTTCGAATAGTTTGTAACTTTGTATGGCTTTATTTTGATATAGCTAGTGATTTGTAGGGGTTTAAAATTTTGGCTTTTCAAAATACCGAAAACCATTCCAATTCAAAGTGAATAAAATTAGATTGGATTTAAAAAAAAAAATCCAAATCAAATGGATGATTAAATGATAAAACCGAAGGTATTAGATCAGATGATTTTTGCTTCAAAACCAATCCAATCCAGACTGCGAACACCCTATCATTACCCGTTCCCCCGTGACACCTCTGAATTGTATTTAAATTTCACTTCTTGCTAAAAGTATCTTCCAAGTCAGAAAATATATTTTTGTCTCCGCACATCAGTTGCTACAACCAATATCAAGTCACCTCATGTTTGTTTTTTCTTCTTCCTCCTCGTAACAAACCATTAAAATAGACGGACGTTCTCCTTTGATATCTTCTTTTGCAAAATTAGTTCTTTCCACACTTTGTTTATGTTAGAGAATAATATAAACCATTAGAAAAGCCATCACCCAAAACTTTAAGGTTTTGGATTGAAATGGTTCTTTACATGGTATCAGAGCTTCAGTGACCATAAAGTCACGAGTTCGATCTCACCGCCCCCCACTTGTGGAATTAAATAAACATAAGGTAAAACCAAAAAAATTGGGTCTGTGCAATATCCACGTTTTAAGCCCAAAGGGTTCTTGCGTGAGGGGTGTGTGTTAGAGAATAATATAAACCATTAAAGTTTTGGGTTGAAGTGATTCTTTACAGTTTATTTAAATTAATTCGACATTCTGATGCATAATGGCCATACTTGTGACACAACATTCAACATCTGATTTGTTTGTTGACTTTGGTCTCTGAGTTTTTGAGTGTCCTTGTCCTCTTCCACTTCTTGGATTTGGATGAGAATGACTAGTAAACTTCTGATCGAAGTTGTTGCATTTATTATTTCTTCTTCCTGTGCCTCTTCCTCGAGTTGCTTTTGAAGAAGACGAAGAATGCCTTGGTTTAGGCCTTCACTGCTACCTCCTCCATCTTTTTCTATTGCAACTTCTGTTATTGAACAAGTAAAGGACTATGCAATTCATCAAGTGAAAGTTCTTCAATGTCTTTGGCTTCTTTAGTGGCACAAACAACAAAATTGAATTTTAGTGTTAGAGGTGACATCCTCCATCTTGTCTCCATGAATCCTCATCTCGTTGACACTATAATTTGATTATTCTAAGTCTTCATTTTCCATGCTTTATACATAAATCCCTGCAATTTCAACGTAGGTATTATTTTTATAAATATTTATTTTAGTTTATTCATTTTGCCAGGAATAAACGTAGATATGTCTGTGGAGATGAATTTTCTAGCAAGACTATTGAAGGACTACAAGTTATTAATGGCCTGGAGTGTAAGATAGCTTGCTGTTCATCTAAGGTATGTAGTATCATAAGATTTACTTCTGCGTATTTAGTCAATATATGTCATTCTTCCCTCAAGCCTTGTAATAGTTCTGATTTTGCACATTTTACTGATGCTGCGTTGATCAGTGTATGATGTCTGTTGGATTGTGTTTCTGAATTGCCACTCTTACATATTTTTTCTTGGTACTTATTGCATTTTGTTAGGTATCATATGTTTTAGATACGGAAGACTTCTTGTTTCGGATGAGAAGGAAAAGAAGAGCCTTGTATCCACAGAATTCATGCCATGAACAGGCAAAGTCTTCAGACATTTTTTCTGGCAGAGTAAATCGGTTCCGCAAATTGTTTTCCATTACATGATGGTGTCCATTTTGAGCTGGGTATGGTGTGCGAAATTCTTTATATTGCTAAGTGTGGGTTATTTTGGGCTTGCCATCGTGCTTTCAAACAGATGGACAACGCATACTTACTTTCAATCAAAACATCTATTGTTATCTACCAAAAAATAAAAAGATCTACTGTTATAATTGATTTTCTCTTATTGCTATATAATATTAAATAGAAATGCATATAGAAGTTTTTGTCCCTTGGTTTTTCAAGTTGATATGAATTTTTAGTAAATAAATAATCTAATTAATACTTGTTGTTTGATTGTCCTTTTCAGTAGTTTTTTTTCAAGCTCCTTCATTGGCGGAGGCGCAGGATAAAAACGACATCCTATCAAGAAGTTGATTAAATTAAAGGACGTTTTTCCGAAATTATTTTTCCGCACTTTCTATGAGCAACCTAATAAAGCGTACAGAGGTTGAGGCGCGGCGTGGAAGGGAGATTGTTGTATATTGTAATTTTATGGCTGATGATGTAACAAAATAATGTAAATAGAGGTAATTTGCGATGTAACTAGGGACTTTTCTCATTCCATTCATCCATATTTTTGTTATTTAGCCCCCCCCCCCCCCCCCCCCCCAATTGATTATGGAACATTCCGTGGCTGCAATTGGCCTTCAGTTTCAAATACGAAGCGCATATTGAGAATCTCCCGTTCCCCTTTGGTTGTTTTTTTTTCTTTATGGGTTGAATTTAACATGGAATGCTGTGCGCTATGATGCACATTGGACTCACAATCTAAAACGAGAAGATTAAAAAGGTTGAGAAGCCAACAACCACTAATCAGAACGGTGTTCAAATTTCTGGAGGGCACTTTGATGATCTTCGGCGGATGGCTGTATTGGCTTCAAGACATTTGTGATTAGAGTTTAATATTAGTGTTATTATTGTACTTACTCATAATCTTAAGTCAGTCTTTATAATTACAATTTTTTAATCTTTTAATTCTAAAACAACGTCGTTTCGAGAGTAAATGCTGATAATTTATCTGCAGTAATTACAGAAATATTTTTCTGATAAATAAATAAAACTTCATTTTGTGATATTCACTATTTACATTTCAAAACGCAAAGGATTTTGTCACATCTCACTCACTGCTGTATGTTTGCATTATTCTCGCAGAATTACATCAATTTAAAATTTTTAAAAGCAGAAAAGAAAATGCTATGACTGACAAAAACTGGACGCATCTTTCCTCTCATTTTTCGTTCTATCCTTCCTCTGATCCCATTAGAACAAATATGTTCAAATAGAAATATGTTCAAATGGGTAACCTCATTAGCTGCGGTTACAGGGAAAAGCTAGTTTAACAAAGCATTTCACAAACCAGGAACCTGGAAACTTGTTTCCCGAGTATGACGAAGTAGCAAAATCAGAATTGGATGTGAAACGAATTTTCAAATATAAATTTTAAATAACATGAATGAACAAGAAGTATATTGAACTAATATCGCAAGTTAATAAATGATAAGGAATATTTTAAATGGATAATTGTTTTAATTCATGTCTGTTATTATATTGGGAAAAACAAGTATCATGTTGCAATTCTCTTGTCACGTTACAGAGACAATAAGTGTGGGGTCCATTATGTTTAAAATAAAAAGAAAAGAAAAAAAATGTAGCACAAATATCAATGTATGTGTAGGAAATTTTGTATTTGTCATGCAACATGACAAATGAAAAACACATTTATAATATGTATAGTGTATGAGTTCATTTTTTCTACCTTCAATGTAGATAATTTATTTACATTAAGACCAAAACGACGTCGTTTTGGGGTGAAAATCAAAGTATTTTTGTAATTTATAATTTATTTCAGGGTTATAATAGTCTTTCTCATTATAATTTTTAATATTTTAATTCAAAACAACATCGTTTTGAGAATAAATATAGATAAATTATCTACATTAACTATAGAAATATTAAAGCCACAGTATATCATGGTAATAATACCACAAACTAAAAGAATTTGAAATAAAAGTATAAAATATTACAATCAGTACAGATGCAAAAGCTTTGTTCTGACATTTTATGAGTTGGTGAATGTAATTTTGACATTAAGTTTTTTGTGTGTAAAGATATTTCAATCATTTTGCCACTAATCTAATTCTGAACGGATACGAGAATTAAAGTTTTAAATAGCTTTTACAATAACAATGAAGAGTATCTATCGAGCATATATGCATCTTAACCCAACTTCTACTACTATCATTTGGTTGATATTAAAAAAATAAAATATGCCAAGCCAAGCCCAAACATTATTTTCTTTTAATTAATTGGGCCTGATCCGTATACGATTAGATATTTCAAGAAAGAAAAATCGCAGGGAAAGCAAAAGCTGTCCTCTCCCGCCATGGTTATCGCGACGAACACTCAAGTTATCCCCTCACTCCCTATTCAACCTCGATACTCTTCTTTCGCATTTGTTTCTACCACTCTCCCATTCTCTCTCTTTCGTTATCGATCTCTTTCTTATTCCCTCAAATTCCGACTCTCCTCCTTCAAGTCCCCAACCTCAACTCTCCATGCCTTCTCCGATGCCGAGGAAGACGACGAAGAAGACGATGATGAAGAAGAAGAAGATGATGATGATTATGAAGACGAAGACGTTGCCGCAGATGAATATGACGAAGTATCCGGCGACGTTTCCGACGAAGGTGAGACTTTCCAGGTCGATGCATTGGTTCGTCACGACGGATTCAAGTGGCATAGAGTCGAGAAGCTCTGCAACGAAGTCAGGGAGTTCGGCGCCGAAATCATCGACGCCGACGAGCTCGCCTCCGTTTACGATTTCCGGATCGACAAGTTTCAGGTTCTGTGTTTCTCTTTTCTTTTTCTTTTTCTCATTTTTCATTTCCTAATTGTTTAGAGAATTTCAGAAGTGATCCTCAAGGTTCAAGCATGTGTTGTTGGTTTTTGCTTTTGTTTTCGGCAGCGGCTTGCGATAGAAGCTTTTCTGAGAAGTTCGTCGGTGGTGGTTTCTGCTCCGACGAGTAGCGGGAAGACTTTGATTGCGGAAGCCGCTGCGGTGGCCACGGTAGCTAGGGGACGGCGAATATTCTACACGACTCCACTCAAGGCGTTGTCCAATCAGAAGTTTCGCGAATTCCGGTGTGCAACAATTGAATGAGATTATGCCAATCGTAGAATATGTGTTTGATTTGTTTTTGCTTTTGCATTTTTATAGCGCGACTGTCATTTTGAAATTATTGCTGGTTTCTTGTGGATTTTCAGGGAGACTTTTGGCGATAGTAATGTTGGCCTTCTTACTGGTGATTCCGCCGTCAACAAGGATGCTCAGGTTTTGATTATGACCACGGAGATATTACGCAACATGTTGTATCAGAGGTACATTATATTAAAAACTTGAGGAAGGTACACCAGTCTTTGCTATTGGGTATGTGATGTCTTGTATTACCATTAATAGCTCTACCATTAATAGCTCTAGATTGAGTCCAGGGGTCAGTCAGTGGGTATGAACTTGGGAAGGTGTAGTTGCATGTGTAATTAAGCACACAACGTTATTAAACAAATAATTGGGGTATATGTTGTCTTGAGCTAGGAGAAATTTAGTTGCCAGTTCCAGTGATTATTCTTTTAATCATGTTTTTTATAATTTGATTATGACAACTCATCATCATTGTTCTCACCTGAAGTTGTATTATTAATAAATATATTATTAAATCTTATCTCCTTTATCTCACAGTGGATTCCTTGTCTAAAAGTTGTGGCAGATTATAAAGTTTCTCCTCTCGATTGCTATTTGGTCATTTAAGCTGACTATTGCAAGCAGGAATGCTAATTAACTGCATCTTTTCATGCAGTGTTGGTAATGTTTCTTCTGGAAGTGGACTTCTCCATGTTGATGTGATTGTTTTGGATGAAGTTCATTACCTTAGTGACATATCTCGCGGTACAGTTTGGGAAGAGATTGTAAGCATGATTTATTGTCTGTGTAATACTTATCTCGCTCAACTTCTCTTATTTATTTATGCTTATGTGGTCAAATACTGCAGGTTATTTATTGCCCAAAAGAAGTTCTACTTATTTGTCTGTCAGCAACTGTTGCAAATCCAGATGAGTTGGCTGGTTGGATTGGTCAGGTATTCAGATTGTGCTGGTGATGTCTATTACAGTTGCAGAATGCACTGTGCTTGCTCTCTGCACCTGTAAATGAAACAGAATAAAGAAGAAAAATTGAAAAACATATGTAAAAGAAAGACAAACAATAGTTCAAAAGAGAAACCAGTTTCTTTGCATAATTGACCAAGGAATTCCCCATTAAAAAACTTATGAGCCGAAACCTACGAGGAATATACCAGTTTCCCACAATAAAGGTAAAGGAATTGTTAATTTGCTGAAGCATCTAGACTCTGGATTGTTATTGTATTTAATAAAATTCTAACTTTCAAGTGAGGATTGAAAACTTGTTGTAAATATGATAAATATCTAATAGATATGATTAGATTAGATTAGATTTGATTAGATTAGATTTGATTAGATTTGAATAAATTACTTCCTATCTGTAAATATTTTGGGCTTCTCACTTAAGCCTATTAGGGTCTCTATATAATGTAACTCTTTGTATTAGAACAATACACAATTTAATAATATTTTTCTGATTACCCTTTTTCAAGTTGGTATCAGAGCTATCCTGAGGGCTTTGCTTCTGCGCTTACGAAACTTTTTATTCTTTTTTTTTCGTCTCTCGCTGTCATTAGCCGCCACCAGAAATTTTTTTCCGGGGACCTCTTGGACCGAGAAGACGATTATTTCACCGTTCCTCTTTCTTTTCTTTTTTTCTTATCTTTCCACTGTTCCGGCAATTTTCTTGTCTCCATAACAAAAAAAAAAAAGAAAAAAGAAAAAGCAGAAACGTACACAGTAGCCATAGAACCACCGTACACAGCCCCTTCATAGAACCACTGTACACAGTCCCTTTCCATCGTACACAGTATGGCCTCCGATGCTGAAACTGAATCAACTCTTGCAAACACAACTACAAAAACTCCTACACAGTCTGTGGTGACCCCTCTTGGTCATAATGATCTTCCTGCTCTTCATCAGAATTATCGCCTGAATGGCAAGAATTATTTACAATGGTCCCAGGTCGTTCGTACCATTCTCAAAGGACGTCGTAAAGTTTCTCATATTGAAGGACCTGTTCCTGCAAAAACAGATCCAACATTTGCTGATTGGGATGATGAAGACTCACTTATTATGACGTGGCTATGGAACTCTGTGACTCCTGAGGTTAGTCAACACTGCATGTTTTTACCTACTGCTCTTGAGATCTGGAGCGTTCTTAAGCAGACCTATTCAATGAAGTAAGATGCTGCCACTTGTTATGATATGAGGAATCAGGTCTTTTCTACCAAGCAAGGTTCTCTCTCTATAACTGAATACTATGGTATTATGAATAAATTATGGACTGAGCTTGATCAGTACGAGAACTTGAAGATGGAATGTAGCAAGGATGCAGCCACTTTGACCGCCTCCATTGAACGCCATAGGATCTACGATTTTCTTTGTGGTCTCAACTCAGAATATGACCTCATTCGAGTTCAAATTCTTGGTAAGGAAAAATTACCTTCTCTTTCTGAAGTTTTTCATGTTGTCAGGGGTGAAGAAAGTCGCAGGGCTATCATGATGGATACCAAAGTGTCCATTATGCTCTCATCTAAAGTTACTACTTCAACTCCTTCTGACTCTAATCCCACTGATGGGTCTGCTATGATTTCAACAAAAAGGGATGGTTCTTCTCAAAGGAACTCCTTTGGAAAATTTTCTGATGGTGCATCTTCTAGACCGAAGAAAGATGATCGCTTGTGTTCTTATTGTAAAAGAACGGGTCATATCAAGGATCTATGTTTTCGCCTCCATGGAAAGCAAACGGTCTTAGACAAGATGGCAAGGATGCGTGGTCAAACACATTTTACTTCCTCTGAAATAGCTCCTGCACCTAATGAGAGCCAACATGCGTTCCGTCAAGAAGAGTTGGAACGGCTTCACACCATCCTTGATTCTCTGAGTAAGCCTTCTGATACTAATACTTTGGCTATGACTGGTATGAGCTCCAAAACTTATTCTTCTCTGTCTTCATGTACTGATTTTGAACATTCTTGGGTTGTTGATTCTGGTGCTACTGATCATATGGCTTGTTGTACTGACCCCTTTACTTCTTATAATCCTCCCATTGGAACTCATACCATAGTCGTAGCTGATGGCTCACATACATCAGTTGCGGGTTCTGGTAACATCAACTTACAGCAGTCCTTACATCTTAAAGATGTTCTTCATGTTCCTAAACTCTCCACGAATCTTCTTTCTATTCATAAAATTACAAAAGATTTGAATTGTACTGTAACCTTCTTCCCTACCCATTGTGTTTTTCAGGATCTCGTCACGGGGAAGAGGATTGGTAGTGCTAAAGAGCAAGGTGGGTTGTACTATCTAGTGTTACAATCTCCCGCAAATAAAGTCACAGATCACATCTTGCTATCTCATGGTCAATCAACTGCTGATTCTTTGATTTGGCTTCATCATAAGCGCTTGGGACATCCTCCATTTAGTTTACTCAAGTCTTTATTTCCGTCATTGTTTTTGTCTAAGTCTGTTGAGTCATTTCATTGTGATGTTTGTGAGTTTGCTAAGCATCATCGTGTGACTTTTCCTTCTAGTATTACTAAGAGTGTTGAACCTTTTGATATTATTCATTCTGATGTTTGGGGTTCTTCTAAGGTCCCTCATTCTTCTTGAAATAAATGGTTTGTTTCTTTTATTGATGATTGCACTCGTGTAACTTGGGTTTACTTAATGTGTGAAAAATCTGAGGTACCACAACTGTTCTTTCAATTTTATAAAATGGTTGAAACCCAATTTGGTAAAAAAATCAAGAGACTAAAGACAGATAATGGTACTGAATATGTTAATCAAAGTTTTTCCCAATTTATACGAAATAATGGTATGATTCATGAACTTACTTGTGTTGACACCCCTCAACAGAATGGGGTTGCTGAAAGAAAAAATCGTCACCTTCTTGAAGTGGCTCGTGCATTAATGTTTCAAACACATGTACCCAAACACTATTGGGGAGATGTTATTCTCACTGCAGCATTCTTGATCAACCGTTTACCCACTCGGGTACTTGACCATGTAAGTCCTATTCACTCTATCACTTCTTTTTTTCCTTCTATTCCAACTCTGAGTCTTCCTCCACGGGTGTTTGGGTGTGTTGCTTTTGTTCATGTTCATAAACATCATCACAGTAAGTTGGACCCTAGGGCTATTAAATGTGTCTTCCTTGATGCCCATTACAATTGGGATATAAATCAATTTGATGTGAAAAATGCTTTCCTGAATGGTGAGTTAGAAGAAGAAGTCTACATGGAAATCCCGCCTGGTTTTGATTCTGTGAAGGGAGAAAATAAAGTTTGTAGATTAAAAAAGGCCTTGTATGGATTGAAGCAGTCACCTCGTGCCTGGTTTGGAAGGTTTACTAAGGTTATGATGACCTTAGGATACAGACAGAGTCAAGGAGATCACACTCTTTTCTTCAAGCACTCCCAAAATGGGAAGCTTACTGTGCTCCTTGTATATGTTGATGATATTATTATCACAGGTGATGATTTTGTGGAGAGATAGATTCTGCAAACACGGCTTGCCTTTGAGTTTGAAGTCAAAAACCTTGGGAAACTGAGATATTTCCTAGGGATAGAAGTAGCTCATTCAAGCAAAGGAATTTTTATCAGCCAGAGGAAATATGTTCTTCATCTTCTCAAAGATGCAGGAAAGCTCGGGTGTAAACCCTCTAATACTCCTATTGAACAGAATCACAAGATAGGCTATGAAGAGGAGAGTCCTCCAGTTGATAAAGGACAATATCAACGGCTAGTTGGAAAATTGATATATCTAGCTCATACTAGACCAAACCTAGCTTATGTTGTTAGTGTTGTCAGTCAGTTTATGCACGATCCAAAGGAGAAACACATGCAGGTAGAAGAGAGAATTCTTCAGTATCTTAAAGCTACTCCTGGTAAAGGATTGTTATTCCGACATGATGGCAATCTCTCTTTAGAAGTCTACACTGATGTTGATTATGCTGGATCCGTGACTGACCGTTGATCTACCACTGGTTATTGCATGTTTCTTTGCGGTAACTTAGTGACATGGAGAAGTAAGAAACAAGATGTGGTTGTCAGGTCAAGTGCAGAAGCTGAATTTCGAGCTATGGCTCAAGGCATTTGTGAGTTACTATGGCTGAAAATTGTACTTGATGATCTCAAAATAAAATGTGAGGGACCTATGAAGCTGCTATGTGACAATAAGTCCGCTATTTGTATAGCTCATAATCCGGTTCAACATGATCGGACTAAACATATTGAGGTCGACCGCCATTTCATCAAAGAGAAACTTGATAGCGGGTTGATTACCACTCCATACATTCCCACTGGGCGTCAATTAGCTGATCTATTGACAAAGGGACTTCCTTCAGACAGATTTCAAGAACTTACTAGCAAGCTGAGAATGATAAATATCTATTGCTCAGCTTGAGGGGGAGTGTTGTAAATATGATAAATATCTAATAGATATGATTAGATTTGAATAGATTACTTCCTATCTGTAAATATTCTGGGCTTCTCACTTAAGCCTATTAGGGTCTCTATATAATGTAACTCTTTGTATTAGAACAATACACAATTTAATAATATTTTTCTGATTACCATTTTTCAAGTAAACTTGCTGAAATTTGTTAAAGTATCAAGCACTTGACTTCAGTCATTATATAAAGATCATGTAACCACGGGAGACCCTTTTTTTTCCCTTGTTCAAAGGCATGAAAGATTCTTTGCAACTCTAACTGGAAATTTCTAAAAATAGTAGCGTAAATAAATCATTTGAAAATTTCCTCAACTTAATGCTGTTTCCAAGGATGCTTGAAATTGCTAGTATTTCATCCATTGTTCAAATACAGGATCCGGTGTTCTCCAATTTATGGGATGCTTGGCATTCAGCATTTAGTTATCAGAAATTTTGCATGTTATATTTGCGGAGAAGGCCTGATGGTGTCCCTATTGAAGTGTGGAGAGGCCTGGGGGATGTGGCAATAAAATGGTTGACCAATCTTTTTAATAAGATTCTCCAGACGAATAAGATGCCTGATGTATGGAGGAAAAGTATGATTGTGCCTATCTACAAAAACAAGGGAGATATACAGAATTGTTCAAACTATAGAGGCATTAAGCTAATGAGTCATACTATGAAGCTGTGGGAGAGGGTTATTGAACATCGCTTGAGGAGAGATACCAAGGTTTCTGTAAATCAATTTGGATTTATGCCAGGAAGATGTACCATGGAAGCCATTTTCTTGATGCGACAACTAATGGAAAGATACCGAGAAAAGAAGAAGGACTTGCATATGGTGTTCATAGACCTTGAGAAAGCATACGATAGGGTTCCAAGGAAAGTTTTATGGTGGGTCCTGGAGAAGAAAAAGGTTCCATTAAAGTATGTAAAGGCAATCAAGGATATGTATGATGGGGCTACTACATGTGTAAAAGCTTGTAACGGATCATCAAGTTATTTTCCTATCACGGTAGGTGTACACCAAGGGTCGGCTCTAAGTCCTTACCTATTTGCCTTAGTTATGGATGAACTAACAAAAGATATTCAAGAGGAAGTGCCATGGTGTATGCTTTTTGCAGACGATATTGTGCTTATTGATGAGAGCAAGGAGGGTGTTAATAGAAAACTTGAATTGTGGAGAAGCACATTGGAATCCAGAGGATTCACATTAAGTCGAAGCAAGACTGAGTATCTGAAGTGAGTTTTCTCTGGTACAAGATGAGGACCAAGAACCTGTGCATCTAAATGGTCAAGAGGTACCCAAAAAAAATGCTTTTAAATACTTGGGCTCCATTTTACAAAATGGTGGAGAGATTGATGAGGATGTAAATCACAGAATCAGAGCAGGGTGGATGAAATGGCGTAGTGCATCTGCATTTTTGTGTGACCGCAAAATTCCCCTGAAGTTAAAAGGAAAATTCTATAAAACGGCAGTACGACCGGCAATGCTATATGGAGCGGAATGCTGGCCAGCACATAGGCAACATGAGCATAAGATGGGAGTAGCAGAGATGAGGATGTTAAGGTGGATGTGTGGGTACACAAGGATGGATAAGATAAGAAATGAAGATATTCGACGAAAGGTCGGAGTAGTACCGGTAGCCGAGAAGATGAGAGAACATAGATTGAGGTGGTTTGGGCACGTGATGAGAAGACCCATGGATGCTCCTGTAAGAACAGAAGTTTGTTACCAAGAGCTAAACACAAAAAGAGGCAGAGGTAGGCCGAAGCTTACTTGGGGGAAAGTAGTAAAACAAGATTTAATGGAGTGAGATATAGATTGGCGGACAGTATGTCTTAGAAAGGAATGGAGAAAAGCTATAAGTATGGTGGAGGGTTAGACTCGCTGTTATTCCTATGTTCCAGATGGTCCTTTTTTAGTCCTTTTCCCCTTCATTTCCCCCACTTCTTCTTGTCCCTTTCTTTTTTACTTTTATTTATTTATATATACATATATTTTTATTTTATTTTATTATTTTATTTGTGTATTTTTATTTATTTATTTATTTATTTATTTTTTACTTTTTTTACTTTTTTTCAACCGTTTTGTATCTTTCATGTGGGTTCATCTACCACCGACCCCAATTAATTTGGGATAAAGGTGTTGTTGATGTTGATGTTGATGTATATTTGCGGAGAAAGAAATAGACAAATAAGTAACCTCATTTTATTTAAAATTACCTTCCTTGATAATGAACTTCTGTGACTCTAGTTTCATTTTGTGTGAAGTAGACCATTACTGGTTTCAGTATCATTGAATCTTCACTGAATTGACTGATGGAATTGTGTCTGGTGACAGAATTCAAATAATAAATTACATACGGTCTTCTTTCTTTTCTTTTTATGGTCATCTACCTAGGCTACATTCTCTTTGTAACCTCTTCAAAATGTTTTTGGCTTTCAGATTCATGGTAAAACAGAGTTGGTCACATCATCAAAACGCCCAGTTCCGCTAACTTGGTATTTCTCTTTGAAGAATTCCTTATTACCCCTTCTTGATGAGAAAGGAACACGCATGAACAGGTACTATCTAGGATCTTTGTTACATTTATTCTGTCTAGTTTTTCTTACATATCTGTATCAGTAAAGCCTTGTATATTGTTAAAGAGTTGTCTATGTGCTTTCACTTCACACCCACGTTAATTTCATGAAAATTTAAAATTGTTAATAGTCACTTGTTTGAAGGTGGTATCTCCATATCTGGCAGTTATATATATTTTTTTCTTTTCCATATTTTCTGGTGTGGATATGGTAGTGTTTGTATTGGTTGTTACTAGGAAAATGATGTTGGCAGCAAACAGTGACATTTTGTCATCAAGTAGCATGAAGTTTGATAGCATCCTTACTTTGGGTTTTTTTTTTTTTATTCTTTATTTTGCGTCTTAGCAATTTACTACTCCCTAATGTGTGGAAGGGCAGAAAATATCTGGCTGTGTGATAAAACTAAATATTCAACACTGAAATTTGGAGAATTGAATTATGGGTGCTGATCGTATGATATGTGAAAGGTTGTTCAAAATGGATGACTTTTCTTTGTAACACCACGTTTCCTGGATCATATTGACACTAATAGGCAATAGATGGGGGTGACAGTTACCATTTTTAGTACTTGCAGCAATGAAGAATGATAAGAGGGTTTTGATTATCCGTATCTGGCTGCTCTGAAGTGCACTGTTACAGTGCATGTTGTTCTTCAATAAGACATGGGATGATATCCATTGGCTCATTTTCATAAATGGCTACCAAAAGGTCCAATTTAAGTTAGTGCCAGCTTTGTTAACTAATGATTGATCAATCAATGTTTTATGACTGGTAGTGATGGTTGTAGCATAGGTGTCATCCGTACTCCTTATAGAACTGTATCAGAAAGAAATTATACCAATGGTTGTGGTGGTGGGGGCTATGGCAGCAAAAACAGTCCTGGTGGTAAAATTGGTGCTTGTAACACCCCGTTCTAGAACCAGTTTGTTAACATTGCATATGATATTAAGCACAGTTATATCACGTTAATTGAATTTAATTACAGAGAAAAAATTTCCTTCTCTTTTCTACTTAAAAAAAACATTACTTCTGTATTCACATAACCCAAATACTTCATTATAACTCTTTTTTTATGCAGAACTAATCATGTTGGCTTAATATCATCTACCATGTAGCTCCCATAAGCTAACATGGTGTGAAACTCTTTCTTTTTAATTCTGGAACGATTGTCGTTCACAGCTAGGGAAGGTCGTTCCCACTCTGGGAAGGCTGTTCCCCCTCTCTGGGAAAGTCATTCCCGTCCCCAGCTCGCGGAACAACCTTGACAGCAAGCAAAATAGGGTTCGGACAGACTCGATTCCAGACTGAACGAGGAACGTTTCGCTACCCAGAAAATTCTGAAATTTGGGGACAAGAAACTAGACATCTGGGGCTTTAAAATGACATAGAATATGCTCGTTTGGTTAAGAATTGAGCAAGTTATGAATAATCCAAGATGACCATACTTGACAGCACTAAAATTGATAGCACTTGGCTGCGCTTGCAATGTAGGGAACCTTCCCATACTTATATGACACCTGATTGACACTCCCATGCATCCCTAAATGTCCATTTACATTACATAACCAAAAGTTTACAAAACTCACAATATTATTAGCATCAAGCCATTACCAATACCTTTTCTTCATGAATGATTCTTAGGCTTCAACCCATCAATATACTACAACATGCTTGCAACAATATAACCATTGTACATAAATTCATTTCCTTACATATGGCATGGTGTTCAATCTTACAAAAGGCCACGCATACTCAACATATAATCCTAGCATGCTCTCATGTCAAAGGGGTGTAAAATCCAAACATGAATGCTAATATTCCCTATTCGGGCCTCCTGCCTGTGCCACTCGTGATAACTGAAAAATAATCCTCATATGGGGTGAGATACAATATCAGTAAACTCAAGGTCTTTGAAGACTTCTCCAACCCTTAAGCTTACTTCCATGATATACAGGCATTAAAATAGCATCAAGCACATTCGAGAGAATACACACAAGGGATTCACATCTCTCATCCATTCATATACATAACTTATACTTATAGCACACCTGAGAGAATACACACAAGGGATTCACATCTTTCATCCATTCATATACGTAACTTATACTTATTGCACACCCGAGAGAATACACACGAGGAATTCACATCTCTCATATGGCACTTCCAAGATAATGCACACAAGGGACTCACATCTATCGGGTTTTAACCACTTAGTGTCGTTCCACATGACTTGGGCACTAAGTGAAGTCCACATTTCACATCCACTTGGCCAGGGATCTATCGAATCATGCAGTTAATGCATAACATATTCATCATTTCATAGATCAAGCATTGACACCCAATTCCAACACCAATGCCACCATGTCATACAAACCATTACTCCTCATGGAGTATAGTGGAACAACAAAGGGGAAAAAACCCCAAAGTCCAAGAGTTTACCCTTTTGGAAACTTCTTTCTTAGCTCTTTTCTTCTTCGAGCAACTCAATCACCAATGCCAATCAAGCAAAACCTATTGCATTATGGTGAACAAGTGATCAACAACTCATAAAACACACAGACATTAATTCAATGACTAGAATTTCTCATGAATACTCAACCTTCAAACTTACCCTCTTAGGTAAATTTTTAAGAATCTCAATCTTGGACCGATGGAATTTCCATTGGCGTTTCCTCAACCAGCATCTCACTTGAAGCAACCCTACAACATGAAAAATGGAACAACAACCATCACAAAGCATCTAAAATTACTATTCACGCTGTTACTATTCATCCAAAATCTAGATTTTTCATTTCTCCATGAAAACTTGAAAGAAGTTAGATTTACTTACCACCAATCATCCAAGGATGGAAAAAGGAAGGTCCTTCAAGCTCCCATGAGCTCCAAACCACTCAAAACCCCAAAATCTTCATGAATCTCAAAACCTTGAGGAGAACAGATCTCTCTACACACTCCACCCCACTTGAAAATAAGGATAAAAATAGGTTCCTCTAAAAATTTTACACAACTTATGCTTGGGAATCACCTGATTTCGTGGAGTATAACTCAAGTTATGGATTTTTGAAGCTTTTCTCTCTTCCTTCAATGGTGGCTGCGGGTTTGAGAAGAAGGGTCTTGGGTTGTGTTTTTATGTCTTGGTCACATTACTTAAGTGACTTTAACTTAGTTGACTTGGTCAACAACTTGTTACTTGGTAAGTTACCTATATATCCTTTGTTTCATTTAAATAACTTCCTACAAGCCATAACTTAAACATTTAAATGTGTAATTTAATTTATACACCATTATTAGATCATCTAACATGGATTCTGACATTAACTAAACTCATGAGATAGTTTTTCACTAACTCGTTCTAAATTTTCCGGTAATTTCTGAAATTCTGCATTTTTTCCGAAAATTCTCTATAATTGCACTTTTCTCCAAAAAGTGTCTTATGACGTTCCCAACCCGGGAACGTTGTTCCTCCTCTTATGACGCTCCCATCCTAGGAACGTCGTTCCCATTATGGGTACAACTTGCTTTATCACGTTCCCAACCCAGGAACGCCGTTCATCCTCTGCGAACGTTGTTCCCACTATGGGAACACCTACTATAATAATTAGATTTCTTATTTAATTAATTCTTTTAACCATGGCTAAATCCTAATTTCTCAATTTACAGGTTCGGGTTATTATAGTGTTGGTGGTGGTGATGATATTGATTGTGATTTTTATTTGCTTATTTTTGTTAATTAATGAGAATAAGCTCAAAATATAATGATAATTGCAAGATTTTCTATGTAATTGTCAATTGATGAATAGGTCGGTCGTAGTGAATGTATAAGTAATTAAGTAGTACCAAGTGTTTTTCCAAAAGAAAATGTGATGGCATTGTGTTAGGACCCATTTGCAAGGTATGGGACTTGGAGTCCCACATTAGTATACAACTAATGTGGGGTTTATAAGGTCTTGGGCATTCCCATCCTTTGAGCTAGCTTTTGGGATAGTGCATCCCTAGGTTCTTATCATATTGTTATTCTGATTCAATATATGTAGTAATAAACTACTATGGATGATTTATTATTTAACAACTTTAATCCAATAAATATTGAATATTATCATTATTTTCTTACTGAATCAAATCAAAATGGAGACTTAGTTTCTTTCTTTATTTAAAGCAGGCAGCTGTCACTCAATTATTTACAACTTCAAGCTGCGGGAGCTAAACCTTACAAGGATGATTGGCCTAGAAGAAGGAATTCACGAAAACGAGGAACTTACATGAGTTATGATAATGATAGTAGCATGTTTGAACAACGTTCTCTTTCAAAGAATAACATCAATGCAATTCGTCGTTCACAAGTAGGGCCTACTAATCAATTTTCTTACCATGCTTTGCACTTTATGAATGAATATATGTAGTTTAGGTTGTGAAACACACTTCGGTAAAAGCACACTCATGTTTGTTAAAAAAATAAAAGGACACTCATGTTTATAATGATGACCATACACTTCTGATATGGAGTACCACTTAAATTTTTTTCAGGTTCCTCAAGTAATAGATACGTTATGGCACCTTCAGTCTAGGGATATGCTGCCAGCTATTTGGTTTATTTTTAGCAGGAAGGGTTGTGATGCGGCTGTGCAATATCTTGAAGATTGCAAACTTTTAGATGAGTGTGAAACAAGTGAGGTTGAACTGGCCTTGAAGAGGTTCCGCATTCAGTATCCTGATGCTGTCAGAGAAACAGCTGTGAGAGGACTTCTGCAAGGGGCTGCTGCACATCATGCTGGATGTCTACCTTTGTGGAAGGCATTCATAGAAGAATTGTTTCAAAGAGGACTTGTTAAGGTTGTTTTTGCTACGGAAACCCTGGCTGCTGGAATCAATATGCCTGCTAGAACAGCTGTTATTTCATCCCTCAGCAAAAGAAGTGATAATGGACGTGCCCAATTAAGCTCAAATGAACTGCTTCAAATGGCTGGGCGTGCTGGACGCAGAGGCATCGATGAAAGTGGTCATGTAGTCCTCATCCAAACTCCAAATGAAGGAGCTGAAGAGTGCTGCAAGGTACTGTTTGCTGGACTTGAGCCTCTAGTGTCACAGTTTTCTGCTTCATATGGAATGGTTTTAAATCTTATTGCTGGTGCGAAAGCCATTCATAGGTCAACTGAATCAGTTGACATGAGACCTTCCTCAGGGAAAAGTTTTGAGGAAGCTAGGAAGTTAGTTGAGCAGAGTTTTGGAAATTATGTCAGTAGCAATGTTATGCTGGCTTCTAAAGAGGAACTTAATAAAATTGAGAAAGAAATTGAGTTGCTGATGTCAGAAATCACCGATGAAGCCATAGATAGAAAAAGCAAGAAAGCTTTATCACAGCGACAATATAAGGAGATTGCAGAATTACAGGAAGATTTAAGGGCAGAAAAACGGGTTCGGACTGAATTGCGGAAACAGATGGAAGCAAAGAGAATATCTGCCCTGAAGCCTTTATTGGAAGAGCCCGAAAGTGGACATTTACCATTTTTGTGCTTGCAATATATAGATTCTGAAGGAGTTAAACATTCAATTCCTGCTGTGTTTTTAGGGAAGGTTGACTCCCTTAATGCTTCAAAACTCGAGAACATGATTTCTTCTGTCGATTCTTTTGCCTTAAATTTAGCAGATGCAGAGCCAAGTGTTGCTGATTCTGAATTGAGGGAAGATCTTGAACCGTCATATCATGTGGCTCTTGGTTCAGATAATTCTTGGTACCTATTTACAGAAAAGTGGATTAAAACAGTTTATGGGACTGGCTTTCCTAATGTTCCATTGGCTGAAGGGGATACTCGACCTCGAGAAATTATGAGTATTCTCCTTGATAAGGAGGACATGAAGTGGGATAAGCTTGCTCACTCTGAACATGGTGGTTTATGGTTCATGGAAGGATCTCTAGAAACATGGACTTGGAGTTTGAATGTTCCTGTTTTGAGTAGCTTCTCTGAAAATGATGAGCTACTACTGAAGTCTCAAGCCTACAAAGATGCCATTGAACATTACAAAGATCAAAGAAATAAAGTTTCACGCTTGAAGAAAAAGATAGCTCGTACTGAAGGCTATAGAGAATATAATAAAATCATAGACGCGGTTAAGTTTACTGAGGAGAAAATCAAGCGCCTGAAGACTAGATCTAAACGTTTGATTAATCGGATAGAACAAATTGAACCCTCAGGTTGGAAGGAGTTTATGCAGGTTAGCAATGTTATACATGAAACCAGAGCTTTAGATATTAATACACATATCTTATTTCCGCTTGGCCAAACCGCAGCTGCAATTCGAGGAGAAAATGAACTATGGCTTGCCATGGTTCTTCGCAATAAAATTTTACTAGAACTTAAGCCCGCACAACTTGCTGCAGTGTGTGCAAGTTTGGTTTCCGAGGGCATCAAAGTCCGACCCTGGAAAAACAACAGTTATATTTATGAGCCATCTGCAACAGTAGTCAATTTCATAAGGTTATTGGATGAGCAAAGAAGCACCCTGTTGGCAATTCAGGAGAAACATGGGGTAACAATATCTTGCTGTTTGGATAGCCAGTTTTGTGGCATGGTTGAGGCCTGGGCTTCTGGGTTGACTTGGAGAGAAATAATGATGGATTGTGCAATGGATGATGGTGATCTTGCTCGCCTCCTTCGAAGGACCATTGATCTTTTAGCTCAGATTCCAAAATTGCCAGATATTGATCCATTGTTGAAGCGCAATGCAAAGGCTGCTTCTGATATCATGGATCGGCCTCCCATAAGTGAACTTGCTGGATAGTTAGTCTCTCTCCCTGTTTGTGTGATCCAATTGTAAATATTGTATGATTCAATGATTAATTTCCAACAATGATATTTATGATATCATTTGTTATTATTATTATTTTCACGAACGAAAGTTTAGGGTAGTGGAAATCTGCTCCGTTCTAGTGTAAAATAAAATTCTAGCTTGTAGCATGATAATATCATTGCTATAAAAACATATTTGCAAGTTATTTACACTTTTATCAAATAAGCTACAAACTCTTCACATTTTATACTAGTTTTTAGATTTTTGATAAGAAATAAATATTTTTTTTTTATGTTCAGAAGTTGTAATTTTTTCATATTTGCATGCGACAGCAAATGTCAAATTATATTAAAAGATTGAAAGTTTATTAAAATAATTAATAAACTTAGAAAATAATGCTAAAAGCTGTTTGATAGTTATATAAAATTATTTTTGGGATTTTAAAAGTACTGAGATAAAAGGATTTGTTATTAAAGTAAATAATAAAATTTATAAATAAAAGTTTAAAATAAGGATATAATCAAAAATTAAATATAAGAATTCCAAGTAGTTGACATACATCTTAAACAAGAAGAAAAAAATCTCTTTTTTTATAAGAATATTTATAAAATTATGTTTGATTAAGTTTCTGCATATAAGAAGAAGAGAAACTAAAAATAATAGAATTAAACAGACACTAAAATAATATGATTAATGTGCATTAATGTTTATTATTTACATCCTTCCCAAAAATGATATTAAAGAATACAAAATATATTTTTTCAATCCCACCTGTTTAATTTTTATGCCCAACTGAACTACCATATTTGTTAGAAGATAACATGATTAATGTGCATTATTCTCCTGCAGACTACAGTAATGCGCAAGCAAGGTCACAAAGGATAACATGATCACAACAAAAAAGTATATATACTCAAAGTAACCGATGAAATTATGAAAAAGTAGCACGGATGCATTCCGACATAACGAATATTTTGATTGAATATTAGTTTCCCATAATCCAGTAAAGCGTGGGGGATCTCTTTATGTATACAGACTATACTTTTTTATTATTATTATTTAGAGTAAGGTTTTTGCTATAGTCGTGTTACATGACCCCATTCATGTTAGACACATGCATATTTTTTTATTAAGTTGTTTTTTTCAAAAAAAAAAATATATATTGGTGGACCCCACAAATATTGTGTGTGCGCCATGATGCAACAAATATCCTGTTACATGATACTTCTATTACTCTTAAGACATGTTTGGTACATAGTATAGGATAAGATCTGATAGTATAAGACCTAATTGAATTTTAATACTATTCAGCGTTTGACACGGTATTATATAAAATAGTATACTGTATAAGATAATATCATCTAGTATATTTGGTAATGCACTGTATAATACTATATATGATAAAAATAAATATTTTTAATAAAAATATTCTTTAATAAAGAATTTATATAATTCTTCAAAAAATGTCATATAATATTAATTTTTATAAAAATTTATTGATCAGTGTGTTCAAAATATAAAGTAAATTTTATAAAATAAAAAATATTCAATATTTTAAAAATTAATATATTGAAAAATTAATTTTTATTTTAATAGATTAATATTAAAATAATATATTAATTTTTGAGAATTACATTGGTCAACGATGTTAATACATCAATCTCTTATCAGGCCTTATCCCTCACTCTTAAGGCATGTTTGGTACATAGTATAGGATGATGCCTGATAGTATAAGACCTGATAGTATAAGGCCTGATTGAATTTTAATACTATCTAGCGTTTGGCACGGTATTGCATAAAATTATATATTATATAAGATAATATCATCTAGTATTTGGTAATGCACTGTATAATACTATATATAATAAAAATAAATATTTTTAATAAAAATATCCTTTAATAAAGAATTTATATAATTCTTCAAAAAATGTCATATGATATTAACTTTTACAAAAATTAATTGATCAGTGTGTCCAAAATATAAATTAAATTTTATAAAAATAAAAATATTTAATATTTTAAAAAATTAATATATTGAAAAATTAATTTTTATTTTAATATATCAATTTCTTATCAGGCCTTATCCCTCACCCTTAGGCCGGATTAAGTTATACATCGTTTTGATGTATGAAGGAATTATGTTGTATAAGCTTATACTATACGATTGTCACACCAAACAACTGAAAATGTCATAACGTATAGTATAAGCTTATACTATCATGCTTTATACGTCATACCAAACAGGCTCTTAGGCCGGATTAAGTTATACATCATTTTGATGTATTAAGAAATTATGCTGTATAAGCTTATACTATACAATGGTCACACCAAACAACTAAAAATGTCATAATGTATAGTATAAGCTTACACTATGATCCCTTATATGTCACGCCAAATAGGCCCTTAGAGTAAATACTATTTTCGGTCCTCATCAAATTTTACGATGCCCACTTTAATCCTTAGCAAATAAAAAGGCTATTCGTGATTTCTAAAAAATTCAAAGTGGACCAATTTTAGTCTAATGTGAATTTTTTTAGAATTTGTGAGAGATCATCATTTCAATTTCAACTAAATGAGTACATTTTAAATTTTTTAAGACTACGAATAACATTTTTATTTGTTGAAAACTAACTACAATTAGGGGTGTCAATATGGGTTTTGACACGCGGGTCGACCCGCGACACGACACGAAAATTCGTGTTCGAGTTGACCCGTAAAAAAATTCGTGTCGTGTTCGTGTTGGAAAAAATGACACGCAAAAAATTCGTGTTCGTGTCGACCCGTATTATTTTTAATTATTATTATTTTATTATTATTATTATTTTTTTTTATTTTTTTTTTTATTTTCGATCTATTTTTTTAATTTTTTTTGTCAATTACCGTTTTGTCCCCTATTTTGCGTGTTATTCGTGTCGTGTCGTGTCAACCCGCAAAAAATTCGTGTCGTGTCAGTGTTGAAGATTTTGACACGAATGAAAATTCGTGTTGATGTATTCGTGTCGTGTCGAATTCGTGTCGTGTCAAATTCGTGTCGTGTCAACCCATATTGACACCCCTAACTAGAATATAATAAAATTTGTTGAGAATAAAAAAAGATATATGTATAGTTTTCTTGGCCGATATCTTTTTCATGTTAATTTATCCAGGCTTGTTGTCCTCGTGTCTAATAAATTTATTAAAAGAATTTTATAATACCTCAATAAATCCAAACAAAACAGACAATATATAGTCAATAATGATTAGATCCTAAAAGAAGTGGATTCCTAATAATATTATTAAAAAAAACAAAAATACTTCAATAAATTATAATAAGAAACCAATAAAATATTAATCAAAATGTATTTATTACAGTCTAATGATAATTTTTATCCTTTTCCATATTAAATTATCATTTAATTAACTTTTGTTAAGCAGCCAATCCCACAGTAACACGAAGAACACTGTGATTCGTTAGAGCAATAGAGAATCACTTTTCTATTTCTCTCTCAAATAAATTCAATTACTCCACTCGATCACTTGTACACATTCGTCACGCACTTTTATCACACAATTTCAACCCCAAAGCAAAATCTCTCTGCTCATACTCATACCTCACCTAACCCTTCAAAATTCAATCTTCCTTGTACCATTCTCTTTGCTCTAAAGCTTTCTCACAACCCCATTTTCATTTAATTAAAAAAAAAAAAAAAAACTTTTCTTTTTCTTTTTTGTGTTTGTAGTAACAGATCGATATGGCTCTGCAACGTTTAGCTGCTTCTTCTTGTGGATCGAATCTCTTGAAACCCATCTCCGCCGCCTTATCTCTCCGCCGTCCGATCTCATCGGATACCACCACAATCACCGTCGAGACCTCCGTGCCATTCACCGCGCACAACTGCGACCCTCCCTCACGCGCCGTCGACACCACTCCGAAGGAGCTTTTCTCCTTCTTCCATGACATGGCCGTCATGCGCCGCATGGAGATCGCCGCCGATTCGCTCTACAAGTCGAAGCTCATCCGTGGCTTCTGCCACCTCTACGACGGCCAGGAAGCCGTCGCCGTCGGCATGGAGGCCGCAATCACCAAGAAGGACTGCATCATCACCGCGTACCGCGACCACTGCATCTTCTTGGGTCGCGGCGGAAACCTACTTGAGGTGTTCGCTGAACTCATGGGTCGTAGGGATGGGTGCTCCAAAGGAAAGGGTGGTTCCATGCATTTTTATAAGAAGGAAGCTGGGTTCTATGGTGGCCATGGCATTGTGGGGGCTCAGGTTCCACTTGGTTGTGGCTTGGCTTTTGCTCAGAAGTACTCAAAGGATGAGACTGTGACCTTTGCTTTGTATGGTGATGGTGCTGCTAATCAGGGACAGTTGTTTGAGGCCCTTAATATTTCCGCACTTTGGGACCTCCCTGCTATCTTGGTCTGCGAGAATAATCATTGTGAGTGTGTTTGTTGGTCAAAGTTTGGTGCTTTTTCAATTGGGTTGGTTGTTATGTTCTTATTTGGTTTGGCTTGGTGAATAGATGGGATGGGAACTGCGGAGTGGAGAGCTGCTAAGAGCCCTGCTTATTACAAGCGTGGGGATTATGTTCCTGGATTGAAGGTGAGTTTCTTTGAGAATTCTGATTTTGGGTTTGTTTGGGTTGGATGGTGTTTTGGTATGTCATCTTCGTCCAAGTGGTTTATTAGTGTCTTTGAAATGATTGATTTTGTTGGTTGAGGAATGGAATGCAATGCTATGCAATGTCCTTCTAATCTGATAATAATGTGTTGTGAAGGGAAGGATGGATGTGTATATGGCAATGCCTTCTAGAGAACTTGTGAATGAATGGATTATGGACACGATTTATTTGGTGTTCCAATTGAAATGGTTTGCTCTATTCATTCAATATGTTTCTCAAAGCCTAATGATTGATTGTTATATGTTGACAGAAGTATTGAATTTTGTTATGTATCTGTTTTATGAGGCTTAGTATTTTGTAGGTTTATTACATATACTGTTATGGAAAAAGCTTTCTTCAGATGTGATGTTGCCAACCTTTACATGATGTACCGCGATGTTGTTACAAGATTGTGCATTGTATGCTTATTGCTTTATTTAGCTTGCCTTGGATATAAGTTCTTTGAGAATGTAGGTAAACGGTGACTGCAACATTATATATATTTTTTTCTGTTTATTTCAATCCGATTTAAGGCCACTGCTTCTTTTATGTTGTTTTTTTTTTTTAAGGTAGCATCTTTAATTCTTGCTAGACATCTTCAAAGAGTCTGAAGACTGAATGTTGTTTCGATTGTTGAGGGATGAACATAGCGTTGAATATTGATGTTTCTATGGACTCTCCTGTTTTAGCCTCCTCCTGGGGCTCTATTCCTGTTTGATTCTAAATATGTAGGACTATGTCGGCTACATGTTTCTGTTTTCGTTGGACATATAAGTTCTATGCTATCATTGTTTAAGTGTGTATTTTTGTTTTATGAGTGAGGCCTGGGCGGTTCGCACAAATGCATACCTGTCTGCACATATACACGTGCTAATTGAATATACGTAGTATTCTTTTTAAACAATCTTTCTGAATTTTTTTAATGAATATTCATACTTTGTACAGGTAGATGGCATGGATGTTCTTGCTGTGAAACAAGCTTGCAAATTTGCGAAGGAGCATGCTTTGAAGAATGGGCCCCTTGTTAGTAAATTTATTTGCTGTTATGCATACTTGAATTTCTCTCTTAAAATTAATTATTAGCAATTGGATATTATAAGTTAACTATTCATCTACTAATGCTCAACCTAACTCCTGAGATTAGGAGGGATCAACTGTGACAATTGGATTAGTTTTAGCCTTAGGAAGAGGATGTTCTACTTATTCATTAATCTGCTAATAATTGACGGAACTCCTTAAAAGTGGTGGAATTAACCATGAAAATTTTACTAGTCATAAGACTTAGTTGAAAGTATAGATCTTTGAATCAAGACATACTCGGTTCACATAACATGTGATTGTTTGGGCTTTCTTGTCGCAATTGTTCCAAAAACGATTGGATTGTTTTGGCTTTCTTGCCAAGTGCTACTATTCCTTTTGACTTGGATTTGGACATGAGATGAGTGCAGTTCATCCACTATGGTCTTGTCCTCACATTAAAGCTGTTTGGTTTGATTTTATGCCCGCTGTGTATCTAGACAATTTGTTTTTCAAATTTATGGAATTGACAATTTGCTTGGAAATTCTTTTTCCTGATCCCTGTTATTCTTAAAAAGTCGCTTGATACTACAAAGTTTAACTAGAAAAGAAGATTTGTATATCATTGAATTGTTTAATATTTGTACAAGAGTTCTCTATTTAAAGAGACTAAAAAACCTAATGGGCTAAGCCCAAATACACTTATAGAGTATTCTAACTATTACAAAATAATAATAAAATAATTCTATTATTTACAATACTCCCCCTCAAGCTGAGGAATGGATATTTATCATTCCCAGCTTGGTAGTAAGTTCTTGAAATCTATCATTAGGAAGACCCTTGGTTAAGATATCAGCCAATTGACGACCAGAAGGAATATATGGAGTAGTGATCAGTCCACTGTCTAATTTCTCTTTAATGAAGTGGCGATCAATCTCAATATCTTTGGTTCGATCGTGTTGAACTGGATTGTGGGCTATACAAATAGCTGACTTGTTATCACAAAGTAACTTCATAGATTCTTCATATCTCACCTTGAGATCATCTAGAATGATTTTCAGCCATAATAACTCACAAATACCTTGAGCTATAGTTCGAAATTCTGCTTCTGCACTTGATCTAGTAACCACATTTTGCTTGTTACTTCTCCATGTTATAAGATTTCCACAGAGAAACATACAATAGCCCGAAGTAGACCATCGGTCAGTCACAGATCCAGCATAATCGGCGTCTGTATAAACTTCTGAGGATAAGTTTCCTCCTCTCTGGAACAATAGTCCTCTACCTGGTGTGCCTTTCAGATATTGGAGAATTCTGTCCACAGCTCGCAAGTGTTTTTCCCTCGGATCATGCATAAATTGACTAACAACACTAACTGCATAAGCTAGATCAGGTCTAGTATGAGCTAGATATATCAATCTGCCCACTATTCGTTGATATTGTCCTTTGTCAACTGGAGAGATCTCATTTTCATTTCCTAGTCTGTGATTCTGCTCAATCGGAGTACTGGAAAGTTTACATCCAAGTTTTCCTTCTTCTTTAAGGAGGTCAAGAACATACTTCCTTTGACAAATAAATATCCCTTGCTTTGAATGAGTAACTTCTATCCCAAGAAAATATCTCAGTTTTACAAGATCTTTAACTTCAAATTCAGTAGTCAATCTTTTTTTCAGAGCACATTTCTCACCTATATCATCCCCTGTTATAATAATGTCATCAACATAAACTAGAAGGATAGTGGTCTTACCTTCCTAAAAATGTTTAAAGAAAAGTGTATGATCCCCTTGGCTTTGCTTGTATCCCAATGAAAGCATGACTTTGGTAAATCTTCCAAACCAAGCACGCGGGGATTGCTTCAAACCATACAACGCCTTCTTTAACCTGCAAACTTTATTATCTTCATTTGTAGAGTTAAATTCTGGTGGAATCTCCATGTAAACCTCCTCTTCTAATTCACCATTGAGGAAAGCATTTTTCATATCAAATTGGTTCAAATCCCAGCTAAAATGAGCAGCGAGGGACAATAGAACTCTTACAGTGTTCATTTTGGCCACTGGAGCAAATGTTTCTTCGTAATCAATGCCATAGGTTTGTGTGTATTCCTTGGCTACCAATCGAGCTTTATACCTCTCAAGAGTCCCATCAGAATTATACTTCGGAGTATACACCCATCTGCACCCTACTGTCCTTTTTCCATTTGGCCTGCCAACTTCCCATGTATTATTCTTCTCCAATGCATTCATCTTCTCATGCATGGCTTGAACCCAATTATCATCATTTAATGCTTCATGTATTGATTTCGGGATTGAAATGGAGTCAAGTGCTGTAATAAAACTTCTATGCTGCAGAGAAAGATTTTTAGAGGAGACAAAATGAGAAATAGGATGTTGGGTACAAGACCTTTTCCCTTTTCTTACAGCAATGGGTAAGTCATCAGAATTAATATCAGGCTCAGGAATAAAAGTAGTGTGTTCAGTACTTACCAGCGGTTCAGGCGATTGCAGTTGCTGATGGGGCAGTGTGGGTTGTTTCTTCCTTTGGTAGAATAGTTCAAGTGTCCTAGCTTTGCGTACTTTCTGTCTATTAATAGGAGGCATGTCACATGAGGAATCAGATGAATTTTCAACCTCAGCAATTAAGTTTTCCTTCTCATTGTCATGTAACTACCGGAGTAGAAGATGTAGGTAACAGAAAGGGAGACTCAGACTCGAAGAAAATGGATGAAGCTTCTACACTATTCTCCCCCTGAAGCTGAGGGTGTAGAAAGTAAGACTCAGATTCATGGAAGCTAACATCCATAGAGACAAAGAATTTACGACTTGGACGGTGGTAACATTTGTATCCTTTCTTGTTGGGAGCATAACCAAGGAAGACACACTTAAAGGCTCTAGGCTCTAATTTACTCCGATGTTGTTTATGGATATAGACGAAGGCAACACATCCAAAGATACGAGACTGGAGACTTTGCATAATTGGAACAGAAGGAAAAAAAGAGGTCATGAGATCAACAAGACTTACATGGCCAAGGACTCTGGAAGGCAAGCGGTTGATCAAATAGGCTGCAGTTAATAAGGCTTCTCCCCAGTAAGAGTTGGGTACAGATGCTTGAAACAATAATGCTTTGTGACTTCAAGCAAATATCGATGTTTTCTTTCAGCAACCCCATTCTGTTGAGGGGTATCCACGCATGTGAGCTCATGAATTATACCCTTATCTGAAACGAATTGTGACAGACGCTGGTTGACATACTCCGTACCATTGTCAGATCTTAATCTCTTGATACTTTTACCAAACTGTGTCTCGATCATTTGATAAAATCGAATAAACAATTCTGGTACTTCTGACTTGTCTTTCATCAAGAATATCTATGTCACCCGAGTGCAATCATCAATAAAAGAAACAAACCACCTAGCACCTGAAATATTATGTACTTTAGACTAGCCCCAAACATCTGAATGGACAAGAGTAAAAGGCTCAATGCTCTTTATTGAACTTGAAGGAAAGGGCACACGGTGGTGTTTCGCAAGCTCACAAACATCACAATGGAAGGAGTCAATTGCCTGATCCTTAAACAAAGAAGGAAACATTGACTTCAATAAGCCAAATGACGGGTGCCTCAGGCGTTTGTGATGAAGCCAAATCTGTGAGAATGAAGTAGACGGGTGATGACTCATTAATAATTGATTCTCGGTATCCCTTGTAGCATGCTCTGGAATGAGATAGTACAACCCACCTTGCTCCTTAGCAACTCCAACCGTCCTCCCCGTGGTGATATCCTGAATAACACAATGGGTAGGAAAAAAGGTGACAACACAATTCATGTCAGTTGTAAGCTTATAAGTGGAGATAAGATTGGTAGAGAGCTGAGGAAAATAAAGAACATTCTTTAAAAATAAAGAAAGTTGAATTTGAATGTTATCAGAACCCACAACTGATTTGTGAGATCCATCAGCTACAGCTATAGTACGGATACCACTAGTAGGGTGATGTGAAAGAAAAGAATCAGCTAGATAGGTCATATGATCAGTTGCACCAGAATCCATAATCCATGAATTTTTGAAATGAGTGCAAGATGAAAGAAGAGATGTAGGGTGTGTGATCTTACCAAACATAGTTGATCAGAAAAATAAAATAAATTTTTCCTTTTTTTTTCGGTGAACAGTGTGCGATGAACAGTGTCACGTGAACAGTACCGGTGAACAGTGCGCGCGATGAACAATACGTTTTTTTTTTTTTTCTTTAGCTGTTCCGATCGTCTGATGAAAAAGAAACCTTCGTAGAATGATAGATTTGAGAAAACAAAGTGAAACAGGGGTTCTCACGGTCCAAAAGGTCCCCGGAATTTTTTTTTCGGCGGCCGCTTTGTGGCGGCGAGAGGCAAAAGGGTTTAGTTTTTAGAGGTAGTGATTTGCGGAAGCAGAGCCTTCAGAATCGAGAGCTTTTGGGTTGATATGGTTCTTTACATGGTATCAGAGTCTTGGTGTACCGGGTACGATCCTCGCCGCCTCCCACTTTCTTTCTAGTGGAATTTCTTCCTTCGCACAAGTAGGTGGGCTTGTGTATTGTCCACCCTTCAAGCCCAGTGGGCTCTCGTGTGAGGGGGCATGTTGAGATATATAAAATCATTAATGTAGCCTCACCCAACAGCTGAAGCTTTTGGGTTGAATTGGTTATTTACATGGTATCAGAGCTTCGGTGTACCGGGTTCAATCCTTACCGTCCCCCACTTTTTTTGTAGTGGAATTTCTTTCTTCGCACAAGTAGGTCAGCCTGTGCATTGGCCACCCTTCAAGCCCAGTGGGCTTTCGTATAAGGGGGCGTGTTGAGATATATAAAACCATTAAAAAGCCCTCACCCACCAGCTTAAGCTTTTGGGTTGAATTGGTTCATTATAGTTTATGTCGTTTGACAAATGATGATCTGAGTGAGAAGCCATTGAGGAGTGATAAATTTTGTCTCTGTTCCTTAACTAATTAATTGCAATTTGAACCTTCCTGGTAAGGAATGATTTGACTGGAAAGTAGTTGAATGTTATTGGTGATTGATCTAAGGAATGTATTGGTTCACTTTGGGAGTGTTTTGTTTTTAATTATTTTATCGTATTTTGTTTGAAATAAGTTGAGGCTGTGGCTTATTATTTGCTAGTTTGCATTCTTTGAAATATTGTTTGGTTTTACCATATATTGGTTATCCTTCCATTACATCAGATACCGAAAGTAAAAGGAGTTTATCATCCTTGTAAAGGCTGTACGACTTGGTCCAGTAGATGTGGCCCCTTTTTTTAATCTTATAGTACAGCAAGATTGATTGCATGGTCGAAAGGGATTGGTTTATGATGGAACTGATTTTTATTGAATTGGAAAACGATGGGCATAGATAGCCCTTACACTGTTCAATACTGAAATTAAAGAAAAGAAAATGACCCAAGTGAAGGACTTACAGACGCTGCAACAATACTCCAAGAGGTTACCCACGGATCCTCCTCTCCACAGTAACAACCTGTTAACAATCAGCATGATTTCCCCCTTCCCACCCACATACATTATATGGACTCTCAATCTTCCCTGTTAACCATTAGCCCTCCTCATTCTCTCTCTTCTAACTAACTCCTAATGGCTAGACCTGGGTCCACTTGTCCTAGTCATCAGTTTATTATATTTGTAGCTTTATTTTAATATTGCTGTCATTTGTGTAATTTCGATTGAAAGTTTATTTTCTGTTAGATTTTGATTGATTTATCTGTCTTATTGATTTTTTCTGTCCAGATTCTTGAAATGGACACTTACAGATACCATGGCCACTCCATGTCTGATCCTGGCAGCACATACCGCACACGTGATGAAATTTCTGGTGTGAGACAGGTTTGTCGTGCTCCCCAGCATATAATGTCCTATTAGTTTAATATTTTGAGGATTTCATTTTCATTTTTTTTTTCTTTGCTATAGGAGAGGGATCCAATTGAGAGAGTAAGAAAGCTGTTGTTGTCTCACGAGATTGCTGCTGAAAAAGAGCTAAAGGTGATTGAATGAAACTGAAATTCTTTCTTGATCCTATGGAATGTGAAATGTGATATTTTCCGAATTGTTTATGCATAACATACTATGACTTCCATCTTGATATATGTTACCAAATTCAATCTGGCTTTTTTTTTTTCCTGAAGATAATCCATGAATGGAAACTATTTTCTTTCGTATGAAGCAAGGCATCTGCTTAAACAATGTTTTTTATGGATCAGCTTTTTTAATTTAGCTTAGCTTCTATAGGCATTTGCTTCCAAATATGTTGACTATGGTTTAGTGAATGTCCTGGAATTAGAGTCCTAATAGGGTACAGTATGAGTTGGTAGACCTATGTTGTGGTAGTTACTCTTCTGTTTAGTTTTATTCTGCCTATTAACTGTTTCTGCTATGTGTGTGATGAAATGGCCTATTTAGCGAGTCACAAATGGCCTATTTCTAGCTTATCATGCTATATATATAATGAAACATTTGATTTTGATGCAATGCTAAAGAATTTCACTTCCTTCTTTTAGGAAATGGAAAAGGAAATCAGAAAAGAAGTTGACGAAGCCATTGCCAAAGCAAAGGTGAAAAGCATATATTTGCTGTTTATTCTCTTAGCTCATACTTTACCGTATACCTTATATTTGCCTATCCTGTATTACCTGTACATGGTTTACAATCTTAAGTTCTTTGTGTTCTTTTTTGTGATTTCCAGGAGAGTCCAATGCCTGACCCGTCTGATCTATTTACCAATGTATATGTTAAAGGCTTAGGGGTTGAGGTATTGATTTCATCCCTATTCATTACTCACTGTATCAATTTGAAGTAAAAGAAAATCAAATGATGTATGACAGATTTGACAGCCTTTTACTTTAAAATTGAGGAAAATATTGTTTTTGATATTTGAGATTATATGGGCATCGAAAATTTTAGGAGAATGGAAGTAGTGGATTAGTTTGATTCAGTGTTTAGACACAGTTCAAATATCAAATTGGGGGGAAAATGACAGGATCATTACTCATTAGTTGTTAAAGTAACATGAAAAAGAGATGCAGCTGCAGTAACATTCAAGCAATTAATAATTAATGGCAGTGCATGCACCTAACCCTCCCCAGCTCCCAACAATGTTGGGAGCCCCCTGACTAGGCTTCCCTTTTATCAGCATGACATGGTAGATGGTATGCTTTATTCAAATTACTCAACTCTTATGATTGGTTTTCATCGGAATTGCAGGCATATGGTGCTGATAGGAAAGAAGTGAGAGCTACTTTACCATAATTGAGAACTTAGTCCTTTGAGTATCTTACTACCTTGGTACCAGACTGATCATAATAATGAAAGAATAAAAGGTTCTACGGCCGGTCATCTCTCTGCCTATTGGTTGAGTTTTCCATTTGTGTATAGTAAATTCATTCTTGAGTGGCAATGGGTCGGAAATTAATACTTTTTTTGCCATGTAATTTTGGAGGAGCTAACGGCCATAGCATTACTGTGATTGATGCAACTGGGTGGTGTTCTGCAAATTTGAGGAATTCATTCTGCACAACTCCCCTGAACTTGTCTTCCTCAATTGTTGGCAAGTATTTGCCATTAGTTTTATTGTTAATTCTCCAGATTGTGTTTTATGGAAACCATTTTTTGGTTACCAAGAATTCACTTTTCTTTTGTTGTATTTCTAAAATTTCATGCTTGCAATTTACGGATTAAATTATGGATACGGATGCCTTTTGCAGCTAATATGTTAGTTTTTGTCTTTTCAACTGTTTTCTATAGATACCAATCATGGTCTGAAGTTTTAATGGACTAGATTAATACGATTTTTGATTTGTACCCCTTCGCTCTTCCTAGGAATTGTGATACTTAAGAATTGAATCTATTAGTTTTTGGCAAGTTATATTTGGGGATCTAATTCGATTGCCATTAAACCAATAAATAACTTCGGGTTCTTTAGCTTTTCTTTTTTTATTGGTATGCTAGTTCTTTAGCTTTTTTATGTGGTTATGTTATCACTTGTTTGAGAAAAGTAGCTGATTTGCCGATAACCTGATAAACGTTAAAACCCATTTAATAACAAGCGAGAAAAGTAGTTGAAAACAATTTAAGCATGAAGGAATTTAATTCTTGAAAGTTAATAAATCCATGTTTCGTAGAGAATACATTTTTTTTTAATCGGAAAAAAAAGATTTTCAGAAATATAATAAGAAAAAAAAATTCTTGGGTAAGTTACGAAAAAGTGTTTAGTAGATTCAAATTTTTTTGAAAAATGTTGAGTTAATTTTATTGACGCTATGGAAAAATAAAAATATTATGTATTCGATTGTATTTTCGTTTGAGAATATGATATTCGTTTAAGAATATGATATGTAAAATGGAATGATAGAAAAAAAAATATTCTAAGATTATTTTCAATTTTTTCATACCAACCCACCTCACTTTTCCAAAATTTCTATAACAGGACTTCCTTTAAGGGTCGTTTGGTACGTGATATTCTCCAGGATTTTCGGAAAACTAAATTTTTTTATATTTTTAATTTTCGGATATTACCGTAAATTGAATCTAAAAATTATATTTCTGAAAATCGAGATTTCCGGATAAAAAAAAAATTTTCCTCTACCAAACATCCCTGGTTAGTACAATAATGTTTCAATAGGAAGAACGATAAGTCAATAATACATGCACTTTTTAGATTTTATGTTGTTAAGAGTTGTTATAGGGCGGTTGAACCTTATAATACTTGCCCAGAATCACTATTCCTTTTGGGTAGGTGTTTCATTAAGACTAGCAAAACCCATCGAAAAAATTTATTCGCTGTAAAAAATTCAAAATCCATGTAAAAATAAAAATAAAAATTCAAAGACCCATAACAAATTTAGTTACTGAAAAATCAATTTGATAATTTTGGAAATATCTTAAAAAGTTACGATTTTGTTCTTATTAGTATAAAAAAAGATACGCATTTTATTTAGGACATTAGACTTTGGCTTACTATTTTCGTAAAATTTTTCAGTCATACATTTAATCTATGTTGCACGGACACTGGTACGGAACATGAAATATGATACGACATGAAATTCTGACACATTATTTTTAAAAAAATGTTAAATTTTGATACTTTAGGACACGTTTTGATATTATATAATATTTTTAATTTTTGTAGTGTATATTATATTTAATATTCAATAATTTAACAAAAAAATAAAATTAAACTTATAATACCCATCAATTTTACAATGAAAGATAAGATATCCAAATGTTTATATTAAACTCAATAAAATAGTAACTGTAATTCAACGAATCTAATAGTTGGAACTCAAAATGCAACATTTAAACCTTTATTGAGTTTTTGCAACGAGTATCAAGAAGTATCAAAGAGTCAGGAAGTATCGAAGTGCTGAGAAGTATCAAAAATGATACGTCATAAATTTTGAAGTGTCGATAGTTGATAGCATTTAACATTGTATGAGCTTAAACACCTAGAAGGCTAGAAAGACATAGGGAAGGGGGAGTAAATAACCTTACTTTTTGCGATTTAATTATAATTTATTTTTTTATTTTTTAAATTAATATTTGCGAAATTAAATGAAGTCGCCGATTGCAGTGGTTAAACCATAAACAGATTATGTTTTTCATTTAAATATTATTTAATTCAATCACAGTTCGATTGTTAACTTATCTAGTTAAATAATTAATTTTAGTTTTTTTGAAATATTTTAAATAAAATAAAACAAATAATTCTTACTTGTCGGCAACAATTCGAATAAAGAGAATTACATAACTACTTCTGTTCTTTTCTCTCTCGTTTTTTCCCTTCTTTTGTAGCCTCCCGGGAACGTTGTTCAGCTTTTATTGTAGGAAACTCGAAGTCTCGGACAATTACAAAATGTAGCCATTCATAATATTTTGCACCGTCAACCATCACAAAAGCAACGCACATTCTTTTTAGTTAGCACTATTTTGCACATTTGTTTATAAACTATGAAGTATGTAAACTAGTGTTTTAAAATTTGGATCGGTTATCGATTCGGTCGAGATACTGAATCATTGATTTAATTGAATTCAGTTGAATTTACTGTTCACGTATTAAAAAATATAAACATATTATTTATATTAAAAAATTCACATAAAAAATTATCAATGAGCTTCAAAAAATAAATTGATTTTCAATGATAGAAAATATTATATATTTCTAGACTTCTACCTCTAGACCATATCCTAACATTAGATTAAAATTACAATATAAGTTAAATGTATCTTTTGTGTCTTGACATAACATAGATAAACTAAATCATGATAATAAATAGTAGGCATAAAATATACACTAAGGAAAAAATGTCCACCGTTGAAATGAGACCATCAGTATTTATTCTCACTTAATGTCTTGAGATTATTATAAGATATAACTAAATTACATAAACAAACTGTACTCATCCAAACTACATTCTTATTTCACTTTACTTTTTAATCATATTTATCATAAAATATGAATATGATTTAATTCAAGAGTTCTCAGTAACAAAAAAAATTACCAAAAAAAGAAAAGAAAAGAGTCAACCGGTCTAATCACTGAGTCGTCGGGTTTCGATGGGTCAACTGCTCTAAACTGAGTTAATTGTAGAACTGATTTAAATAACTGCTTAGATTGAAAAATTCATTGCTAAGACTCGAGTCGACCCGGTCAATACGAACCAAATTTTAAAATAGTGATGTAAACTTTAAAGATAGTTACATTTATGTCAGACATATAAAGAATATCTATATCAAATATTTTATAATGTGGTACTTTATATATATACGCTAATATACATCAACAATCAACTAAATTTGCTTACTTTACATGGAAAAATTAAAGTGGTTGGTGGTACGAGCCCTATGTCATCATCAAATGGAATCACATGCATAGAGGTGGACAAACCATGAAGCCCGCTGGGTTTCACGAGTGAGTGGTAGCCGTCGGATGCGATTGATGACTGTGTTGCCTGTTGTACATTGCATTCGAATCTTCTGATTATTTTCCTTAGGTGGGTCCCATTACCACTGTGACATGGGCCACCCCTGAAAGAAACAGAGATGGGGTCCACGTTCCATGACATTTTTTGCATATTTTTATTCCCACGTGGCAGCATCTTATGTCAAAGCCAGATAAGAACAAAACCACCGTAGATGACTCTGGAGTCTGGACGCACCATTAAACTATGTGTACCAATGCTCAGAGTATCCAATGCACTATCAAGTATCAAACACCATATAATAATATTTTATTTACTTACTGTTTTACACACATAACAATTACACACTACACAGTATTTGTACTTGGTTCACACGCTTGGATCACTTTCCCCAACACTCTCGGCTTCTGGTTTCTACTTGTATTTACTTATTATTTAATGCTTTTAGAGTAAATGTCTAATTAATCTTCTAAAATATATTAACATAATATTAATATTTTTATTAAATACAATAAATTAGTCTTTAAAAAATTAATATTGAATTTGAGAAAATAATTGAATAAAAGGCTTTCTTTTTCTTTTTCTTTTTTTAGTTTTCCACCAGTTCATCCTTCAGATTATATTTTATTCGAGCACTTGCTAAATTCTATTAAAAGGGGCAGCTTTCTAAAATTCTTTTTTCATTCTGAGCTCGAACTCAAGACCTCTGATTAAGGGGTTCAAGCTTCTTACCATCCGTGTCAAGGGTATTTGGTTTCTTTGCTTTTCTTCTTTAACACGAGAGAAAAGAAAATTTTCTACATAAACATGTTTAAAGTAGGTCCCACCGTTAAGAAATAAAAAAATAAAAAATAAATAAAATCAAAGAACATAAATCGATATATGTATGGTATGAGAAATACTTTCTCCAACAACATGAGAAGTTATTTCCCCTGAAATAAATCTGTCGTAATTTGCCCTTTCCCTTTTTTTTGGATTTTACTTCTCTCGTATACTAAGAGATAAATTATTTTATAGTGTGAGACAAATAAAGTGAGGCTCATCAATTTTTTTTAAAAAAAGAAAGAAAGAAAAACACATTTTTTTATATAAGTATAACATAAAAAATGTTAAGGGGACGTTTGGTAGAGGAGAAATTTTTTAAAATTCGGGAAACAATTATTACTGAAATACAATGAGAAATAATAATTTTCCAGAATATTAGTAAAAGGTGTTTGGTATGGTAAAATTTTCCTGGAAATATATAGTTAATTTACTGAATGCGTGTTTGGTTAATTGTGAAATATTAGTGAGAAAGAGATGTTATTTGACGAAATTGACCTCAGGTTAATTGTGAAATATATGGTTAACGTTTTTTTTTAACAAAGCCACAAGATTAATAATCAAAATGTTGGGAGGGTATCCGTTATCCTGAATCTTAACAGTTGCCTACCGTAAAGAACGAAAGAGGATGGAAATTGTCTTCAAATTAATTTTCTAGATCCTCGTTCTCTAATTTTTTTTTAGGAAACAAAATAATATAAAAATTAAAAAATTATGTCAGAAAAAAATTAAAATGATTTCACTCTACCACCATACCTTCTGAACTCCTTTCCGATGAAACCCAGAGCTTCGATGGTGGACTCTTTCTTCCCGCGGAAATGTTATGCAGTCATAGCAAATTTTTACTTGCCTTTATAAAGAGGTTCATACTTGCTATTACTTTTTAAGAATAGAAACGTCAAATTTTGCGCGCCTCGTGTTATATTTCCCTGGGATCGACAGAGTTCCAAGTTTTCAATG